TTACTTCCATTAAAGGCTTGTGACTCTTGGCCAGGCTGGCTGCCACCTCCGGTAGCAAAAGCAACAGGATTGGGTGATTGCTGCAAGTGCTCCTTCATGGCTGGTGTGAGGGCTTGGCGTCCAATCAAGTGTCGACCTGCGGCCGTGTCCCAAAGCCAAGGGATGGATTTGGAGGCCTTCATTGGCATGGCATTGATGGGGTCAGGATTATTAGTCGCGCCATCGGCAGCGACCTCTGGGATTATGACAGTTGCCATACTAGCAGCAGCTTTGGCAGGGGCTTTACCGCTTTTACCAAGTGCTCTAGGAGGAGGTCCCTTATACTTGTTGGTATCTGAGTGGAGGAACGCGCACGACTTAGCTTTGCATGCATTGTACGCATAGAACATGCAAGGGGTTTTGGCTTTTTCGGAAGCGCTCATTTTTGCTACTTTCCTAGCCTCTTCCCCACGCGGCGTCGTGTTGCCCTTTCGGTTGGGCGGAGGCGGCTTTGGGCCGGATGGCTTAGCCTTAGGCTTCGCTTTTGGGGCAGGAGCTGCCTTCACGTCCTCCTTTTTAGGGGTTTTCTTTGGTTGAGGATTAGGATTACCCCCCCCTGAACCCTGGTTCTTAGGCGTGGCCTTAGCTTTGGGATTAGGGGTCCGTGCAGGGTCCATGGTCACTTGCGACCCTAAAAAACGGTCACTTGTGACCCTAAAATCCCCGGTCACTTGCGACCCTAAAAAACAGTCACTTGCGACCCTATTCCTTTAAAAACTGTCACTCCCCCTGCGTTCCACCATGCAATTGTCTCCTTTAAAAACTCTCCACCATGCAATTGTTTGGTTGGGGGGAGGGATCATTCTACTTACATCATTACTTGACTCAGCCATTTAGGGTTTGGTTGGGGGGGGGGAACATTGAACTTAGATCATTACTTGACTCAGCCATTTAGGGTTTGGTTGGGGGGGAGGGATCATTCTACTTACATCATTACTTGACTCAGCCATTTAGGGTTTGGTTTGGGGGGAGGGATCATCGTACTTACATCATTACTTGACTCAGCCATTTAGGGTTTGGTTGGGGGGGAGGGATCATTCAACTTAGATCATTACTTGACTCAGCCATTTAGGGTTTGGTTGGGGGGAAGGGATCATTCAACTTAGATCATTACTTGACTCAGCCATTTAGGGTTTGGTTGGGGGGGAGGGATCTTCTACTACATCATTACTTGCCAGCATTTAGGTTTGGTTGGGGGGGAAGGATCATTCTACTTATATCATTACTTGACTCAGCCATTTAGGGTTTGGTTGGGGGGGAGGGATCATTCAACTTAGATCATTACTTGACTCAGCCATTTAGGGTTTGGTTGGGGGGGAAGGATCATTCTACTTATATCATTACTTGACTCAGCCATTTAGGGTTTGGTTGGGGGGGAGGGATCATTCAACTTAGATCATTACTTGACTCAGCCATTTACGGTTTGGTTGGGGGGGAGGGATCATTCTACTTACATCATTACTTGACTCAGCCATTTAGGGTTTGGTTAGGGGGGAGGGATCATCGTACTTAGATCATTACTTGACTCAGCCATTTAGGGTTTGTAGGGGGGGAGGGATCATTCAACTTAGATCATTACTTGACTCAGCCATTTAGGGTTTGGTCGGGGTGGAGGGATCATTCTACTTACATCATTACTTGACTCAGCCACTTAGGGTTTGGTTGGGGGGGAGGGATCATTCTACTTACATCATTACTTGACTCAGCCATTTAGGGTTTGGTTGGGGGGGAGGGATCATTCAACTTAGATCATTACTTGACTCAGCCATTTAGGGTTTGGTTGGGGGGAGGGATCATTCTACTTACATCATTACTTGACTCAGCCACTTAGGGTTTGGTTGGGGGGAGGGATCATTCTACTTACATCATTACTTGACTCAGCCATTTAGGGTTTGGTTGAGGGGGAGGGATCATTCAACTTAGATCATTACTTGACTCAGCCATTTAGGGTTTGGTTGGGGGGGAGGGATCATTCTACTTACATCATTACTTGACTCAGCCATTTAGGGTTTGGTTAGGGGGGACGGATCATCGTACTTACATCATTACTTGACTCGTTACGGTGATACGACATGAAGCAGATCGAAGCCTAATACGTAACTATATGTTTCTTGTCTACGTGATGCTGCACCCACCTTCTGCCTTGGCAAAATGCCACTGCGGACGACACAATACCAAATTTGGCACAATTGAGGACTGCAACTTGGCACATGCGATTTGAAAGTTCTTTAGCGCAAGTGCGCGCATGAACTTCACAAACTAATCTTTCTCCCAGGATTTCAGCAATCACTTGAGCACCACAGTGCAACATATTGGGTCACGAGACTTGTACAACCCATGTACAATGTGAATGGATATGCCCTAATGCCCTAATGGACAAATAGATGGACATGCATGGATATAACAGTATACTATCATACTATACCATTGTCAATGGTGGTGAAATTCAGTGCATCACCGACGCATGGATTGCTAAGGTTGGCCGCAACTTTCTGTATAATTGTCTGGCCGCGAGTTTGTCTGTGTATAACTTTCTTCGTGAATATATTTTGCATTATCGAAGGAAGTTTCGAAATCAAACTTCCAACAATATGGGCAGATGAAAAGCAGAGATGGGAAGAGGCAGAGAGAAGAGAAGAGTAGAAGAGAGCAGATCAGAGAAGAGAACGAGTCAGAAGAAAGAAGATGCAGAGGAGCCAAAAGGTAGTGTTTTCCAATGCCTTGTGGCTCCGGAGGGTCGACAAGTAAGCTCGCTACAGCGGCGGGCGCGGAGCCAGCTGCCCAGATGAGAAATACAAAATTGCACGCCGTTGTGGCGTGACGTCCATTTCGAAGTCAACATGCACAAAAACCCACATGGTCGGACCGCCTTTAGCAGTTGAGATGGAGAGATAGAGAGATAAAGAGATAGAAAGAGAGAGAGAGAGAGAGACAACATGTACAAAACACACCATGTTCGGACCGTTTTTAGAAGTTGAGGTAAAGAGATACAGCGATAACAAGATAGAAAGGGAGAGCGAGAGAGATAGATAGATAGAGAGATAGAGAGAGATAGAGAGATAGATAGATAGATAGATAGATAAGATAAAATAAGTTAAGATAAGATAAGATAAGATAACATGAGATAAGATAAGATGAGATAAGATAAGATAACAAGATAGATAGAGAGAGATAGATAGATAGATAGATAGATAGATAGATAGATAGATAGATAGAGATAGAGATAGATAGATAGATAGATACATAGATAGATAGATAGATAGATAGATAAGATAAGATGAGATAAGATGAGATAAGATAAGATAACAAGATAGATAGGGAGAGATAGATAGATAGAGATAGATTGATAGATTGATAGATTGATAGATTGATAGATTGATAGATAGATAGATAGATAGAAAGATACATAGATACATAGATACATAGATAGATAGATAGATAGATAAGATAAAATAAGTTAAGATAAGATAAAATAAGTTAAGATAAGATAAGTTAAGATAAGATAAGAAAAGATAACATGAGATAAGATAAGATAAGATGAGATAAGATAAGATAAAATAACAAGATAGAGAGAGATAGATAGATAGAGATAGATAGATAGATACATAGATAGATAGATAGATAGATAGATAGATAAGATAAGATAAGATAAGATGAGATAAGATAAGATAACAAGATAGATAGAGAGAGATAGATAGATAGAGATAGATGATAGATAGATAGATAGAGATAGATAGATAGATAGATAAAGTTAAGATAAGATAAGATGAGATAAGATAAGATAACAAGATAGATAGAGAGAGATAGATAGATAGAGATAGATTGATAATTGATAGATTGATAGATTGATAGATTGATAGATAGATAGATAGATAGATAGATAGATAAATAAATGACATGTAGCTTCGAAGCCCTTAAACGAAGCTTTTCTGCGAGACTTCCTACAAAAATGAAGCTTCGAAACTCAAAAACAAAAACTTTTCTGCGAGACTTCCTTCAAAAATGAAGCTTCGAAGCTCTAAAACGAAGCTTTTCTACGAGACTTCCTTCAAAACTGAAGCTTCCAAACTCAAAAACCTAGCTTCGAAGCCCTTAAACGAAGCTTTTCTGCGAGACTTCCTTCGAAAATGATGCTTCAAAGCTCTACAACGAAGCTTTTCTGCGAGACTTCCTTCAAAAATGAAGCTGCGAAACTCAAAAACGAAGCTTTTCTGCGAGACTTCCTTCAAAAATGAAGCTACGAAACTCAAAAACGAAGCTTTTCTGCGAGACTTCCTCCAAAAATCATGCTTCGGGCACGAATAGGGTCACAGGCGACCACAAAGGGGCCGCACCATTTTCGTGTGGCAGGTGTGGGACTTCGAGCACACCTGGTCACTTGTGACCCTATCTTTTTTACTTCAAAACGTAGAAACAGTGATTAGGGTCACAAGCGACCAATGTCCCTTATAGCCTGCCAAATCACGTTCCAATGGGGCTACAATCTGCTACAATGAGATCGTCATCGGCCCCCCGGGCCTTGAACTTTGACCGATGCTCTACCGACTTTGATTGGTGGCTTGCCCCTTTTTACATTCAAAAAGTCACCAGAGCATGAAGTTGATGATTTCCAGGTTATCTCAACATATGTTGGCCGTCATTCATGGGCCTGGAAATGATCCAGAAACTCTCTGAGCATCAGCAGCTTGTGCAAAAATCTGGATAGTAAAAAGGATAGAGTAAATCTCAAAGCTGATTTAAGGGTATCAAACTCTATAGGATTGATGGCTTTACATCAATTTCATCATGATCGATCTCGATGACTTAAATTAAATATCAAATAGGGCTTCAAACTTTGTCAAGCTGATATACCACGGGCTGCACCTGCAAAATCCATCAGTTGATCATCATCTTCCCCATGAAAATTGTCATATCTTAGGCTTAAATCTGCTTGTTCCCCATCAACAGAGGCGAATCTGAGGTCACTGGGGGCCCCAAACATCTCCCAGCGGAGGAACCAAATAAGGAGTTCCCACCACGCGACTGTCCCAATCTCCATCCTCGCCCTGGAAAAAAAATTGGGCCGACTTAGGCAGGACTGCGACCAATGTCTTCACAAATTTGAGCCATGACAAAAAGATGGGGTGCCTATATAACCATGCAACATGTGTGCGTGTGTATGTATATATATAATACATATTCTGGTGTTAGTTATATATACATTGTAGGTTCACATATTCATATGTGATATAATTATGCCTAAAAATCAAAGCAATCCGGGGGTTGAAGCAACAGAAATCTTGGATAATTATAAACAATAAAAATGTTGGATATCTCATGATACATCTCTATGAAAAATCTATCTGACGGTGGTCCTGTACAAGAAATACAAGAGCATACAGCAGCATAACCTTCCAACTTCTCAAATTCGCCGTAGACACGTAGTTCTGTCGGTAGCAACACAAACTCTCCAGAAAGCAAGACTGTAAGCCCAAAGGTTACAATCGCACTACAAATGCCCTCAAAGTCTGACCATGAGACTTTGAACTGCACAGCTCCCAAGTGACACAACCAGCTGCCAACTTGGACATGGCTATGCAACCGGTTTGTTCAGTCCCTAGGCTGCCTTCTGTAGAATTGGCCCACCAGCAGCACGCCCAGGAACGTCCTGAAGTGAAAAGATCCGCAAATGCAAACGTCCTCACCTATGTTTGGTCATCATTTGGTCAATCTATTTTGTAATATCTTGTACCTTAACACCATTGCTATAGATGTGGACATATGTGGACTCAAAAACTTTCAACAGCATCTTCATTCGGACCTTTTGTCCAAGAATACGGTCATAATGAGCCAGAGTTTTGAAGCTTATGAGGGCAGGCAACGGCTCCAATTCCAAAATATTTCAAACAAGATCCAACAACACGCATAGTTACGTGCTATATGTTCTCTCATGCTATCGGAATGCTTCTTGGCTACATCCATTGTTTCGCCTATTAGCTTCTTATCTCCTTAACTTGAAGACTGACCTACGCTCCTCTACGTCGTTTACAGAAGCGCTTGAAACCTGTAGGTTTCCCATTGCCAGGTGGAAGGGTTTGTCCGAAAATAAGGCACCCCTGGAACCCATGGTTTAGAAAATCATCTGGCGATGGATCAAAACCGAATGAGTCCCCTGGTTCTCCCATCAAAATAGCTGGCAACAGGATGGCTCGTACTCCAAAAACATTCTAGGTCCTAGGTTTGTACGAGTAGAAACTGTACATGCTAAACATGTTATTTTAGGGTACCAACCAAAAAGTTATATAAGTGGAAAGCATACCGTATACCCAATAAATTGGCGTGCACCTATAAAATGGCCTGCATGTCATTTTTCAGTGTGCGTGTATACCTAATTTTTGGATATGGGTTTTATCTGAAAATTTTGAGAATGGAAAACATAGGAAAACCGGTTTTCCATTTTCAAACACACAATATCAAGTCTCATCATTCTCCGTGGGTCCCCTGGGTCCCCTGGGTGAAATTAATTAGATCCCTATTCTAGTTCGTTCAATCGCTAATATGTTCCCGTATTTTTTGTCTCAACGGAAAAACATGGGAAGACATGGAATCCAATTTTCAGGCACACCCAAAAATTATAGTATCTTATGATTGGTTGTAGTTATATTATGTTATATTATATCAATATCCCGTGAATTCCCATGGTATCCCCATAAGATGCCATCTGATAATCAAACGTGGCTAGCTGTAAAATCCCCGAACTAAGCGGAGGCTTATAGCTGGGTAAATCATCGAACTTTAAATGGTGGATTCTCTAGCAAGCCACCTTTGATGACCAGAGGGTAGTTGGATAAAACAGATTGGTGAATTATATCCCCACGATTGGTCAGATTATTCCCATAGTATCTCCACTAGTTTCATGCAATGGTATCCCCGAAAGAAATCCCTATAAAACAGATTGCTTAGTCCCATCATTCCCATGGTATCCCCCTTGGTCTCTTAGTATCTTAGTTAAATACCCATGGTATCCCAGGGTATCCCAGGGTAACCCGCCTGCCGCTGCCACACAACGCCATCCTCACTGTAGGCCAGACCACAAGCATGGTCGCCCCTGTCATCCACAGCCTCCCATCATCGGTGTGTTTTCTTAGTTGTCAATGAATATTCGTTGGTATAGTTTTCATGACATACCATTGACACTGAACCCATAGATTTTCTAGTTCTTAGGATGTTCTGATCATTTCTTAGTTGTCAATGAATGTTCAATGATAACAATGATATAGCTAATGTCATATTGTTTTTGGTTAAATGAACACTACCTGTTCATACCTTTTCATGGAGGGGGGACCATTGGATATGTAACACACATATCTTTGGTTTTGTCGTGGGGAGCTAGATTTGTCACGTTCAATGCCCTGATGGATATAACAATTATTGAATATCATTGAATCATATTAACTTCTACAGCTATAGTGTTCTTCCTGATTGTTTTTCCTTCAAGAAATTCTTGGAGGAGTTATAAGACATGATTAACCCACCGATAAACCATAACTTATAACTACTCTAGCCGGTGTAGGTTGCCGTTTGAAGGTCTCAACAAGTGATGTCGATATGATATACCTGGAACAGCAAAGTGTGGCCACAGTGTGGAGGTTTGTCACTCATAAAGTTGAGTTTCACAGTACCCTATGGTAAACTAACATAACTATGGAAAATATCCACTTTTAATGGGTAAATCAACTATAAATAGCCATGTTCAATAGCTATGTTAAATTAACAGAGGGTTTTTCGTGCGGCTGATTGAGGCATCACCAGGCCACTGGTAGCGGCACCTCGTAAAGCATGGTGAGGGCATTCTCCTTCACCACCAAGTGACGTACCCCGACCTTGGCCGACCAACGTTTGGATCGGTGCCTTGGCCAAGGAACATCACACACGATCAAAGTACATATGTGTGTGTATGTGAATATATATATATATATTAGTACAAGTATATGTGAGTATATACCAGCACATATATACACATTAGTATGTTATGTTAATTTGTATATATTAGTATATATTAGTATATATATATTAGTATATATTAGTAGATATAATAGTATATATATAATGGTATATATTAATTAGTAGATATGATAGTAGATATTAATTGTTATGTATTAGTCTATATTAGTATATATTAGTATATATTAGTATAAATTCGTATATATTCGTTTATATTCGTATATGTTCGTATATGTTCGTATATACTAATTAGTATATATTAGTATATCGTATATATTTAATTAGATAATCTTAATTTGCATTTAGGCATTTACCCAAGAAAGGTGATGTTCAATCGTTCTTTTGCCAGAAAGTGATGTTGCCTTTTCTCAGACTGACCACAAGAAACCCAATTGCCATCCATTTGGAGGCCCAATGAAGATCAATGGCATATACTAAGTCTCCATATGTTTGGACTGAATATACGTGTTATGGAATCATTAGATTCTTTTTTTGGTGTGACAAAATAGATGTTGTGGAATCATGTGACATAATTTATCATGATTTTTATATATATATGTATGTATATGTATCTCTTTTATCTATATATATATATACATTCATATTTGTTTATTTATATATATATATATATATGGGCAGGATTTCTGGTATTGTTAGGTATTAATCCATAGTACCTCGTTAATTCCCATCTATGTATATATATATATATACATAGTACATAAAGGTCCATCGTAAGTATATATATATATAATTATATATACATACACACACACCCAATCAACACACAAATTTAGGTTTCAGCCTCACTCTTTTTGACGCATGGCTGGCGGTCTTTCAGCTGTGGTGGCGACATGCTCTACCACAGCTGCCAAAATGGAAAATGAAGTCCATCCTGGATCTTCCTGTCTTCTCTCTGAATTGATGCCTCCATGGTAGGAGGAAAAAGATGCCCCCATGGCAGGAGGTAAAACGTTTTCACATTTCTCACAAATAAATCTCCATGGTAGGAGGCCAATTCAAAATTCAACCTTCCTCCAGGAGAGGGTGGGTCTGGGCCCCAAAAAGGATGCTAAAGCCGAAATGCATCACAACATTCAACCTATGCTTCAAGCAGAAAACATAGGTTTCAGCCTCACTCTTTTTGACGCATGGCTGGCGGTCTTTCAACTGTGGTGGCGACATGCTCTACCACAGCTGCCAAAATGGAAAATGAAGTCCATCCTGGATCTTCCTGTCTTCTCTCTGAATTGATGCCTCCATGGTAGGAGGAAAAAGATGCCCCCATGGCAGGAGGTAAAACGTTTTCACATTTCTCACAAATAAATCTCCATGGTAGGAGGCCAATTCAAAATCATTCCAACCTTCCTCCACGCCCCCAACTCTCGACCTGCTGTCAGAGCTGGTTGACAGGGCTCCATTGCTCCAACATTCGCTTTGCCTTTGGTGACCATGTCATACCCGGCAGGTGACTGAGGCCATCAGCCAAATATATTTTGGCCACTTTCGAACTCTGCCAGCGTCCTTTGAGGAGTGCTGTTTCCATACTTCCTGTTTGTTGAAACAAAGCGGTTGCTCCGCCCCTACGGAGACTGTAGGGACGAAACTTATGTCTCAGGAGATCGAAGCGGCTGCAGTGATGGGCAAACGCATTGCGAAAACACTGGGGGGACTTCGTCCAAATTGGGATTCTCCCATGTCCGCCTCTTTTTCGTATTTCACAAATTTCCCGTAAAATTTCAACTGCAACGTAGTCATCAAAACTTACCATCTCCTTTGCAGCGTTCCGCAAACCTGTCTTTGTTTCCGAAAGAGAAACTATTGCTGACTGAGACCCAAACATTAGGTCGATAGGACGTACCTGCAAGCATTCTCCTGTGCGTAGGAGTGCAAAGAAACCCAGTAGAACCATTGCAGCAAACTCCAAGTTTCAATGCTCCATCGCATATAAGGCCCATGCATGAACCACCGACGCAACAAGGGGAGGTGCTCGATTTGGAGATTCTAGTTTTCTCCAAACAGCCAGCAATTTCCAAGCTTGAGGCAGCCGGCCTCGCAGCCAGGGCTCAAAATGATGGGCCGCACAGAGAGCATCGCTTATTTGATGCTGAGTATCTCCTTTTTCCCAACGTTTCTGAACCCAGTCTGCTACCTGATCGTCCATGTCTTCAAGGTCCTGACTATTAAGCAACACAGGTAGCAGCTTCCGTAGCGCTGTGTAATAGCGCTCCTGGGTCTTGTGTGAAAGACCTGCATCTCTGAGCACGACCTTTGAGCGTTGTCTCACCCGGTCAGCCCGAGAGGTCTTAGTACAAAAGCGCCATGGAACGGCTTTCCCCATCAGTTGGATTCTCAGTCGACTCAACGTGGCCAATGCACAGAGTCAACCCAAATCCTAACAGGGTCGCATTCAGGAGCTTCAGGATGGCATTCAGCTGCCGGCTCCCGCTGCGTCCCTTGGCCACCACCGACATTGCCACAAAGCTGTCAGAGACATGGAAAAGGCGCACGTGTCTCGCCCCAAAATGTGAAACCTGATATTTTACAGCCAAAAGGATCGAACGCAATTCAAGGACATTGATATGCTCTCTTTGCTTCCAGCGTGTCTTGAAAGAAGGTTGCCACAACCACCAACCTGCCTCAACCGATTGTCTAGGAACACTTTTTGGGGAGAGAAGCTCGCCCGTGGTGATGCGGATGTCGGACCCTGTATGATTGACCTTGGTTAAGACTAATTTTTTTAATTCCACAACAGAAAACACACAAGGAAAGGGAGAACCATAACAAAGAGTTCGACACAAGGGGAGTTTCCATCTCAAAGGTGCCCTAAAACCCGGTGCCATTCCCATTCTCCTTGTCAGATGCGAGTACTGCAGCCTCGGGAGCCATCTCCTGCATAGTGCCGCTGCCGCAATGACAAAGGAGTAGATGCTGAATGAATCTCCAAGTAGAGAAACTCTCTCATCCTCATATGCCTGAGCTGAGCGTTTAATGTCTGAAGCGCTCATGCAGACCTTTGTATGGTTCCACCCATACCCCAGTAACAGCTCCCGCTCTGAGCTGTTGGTGAGACGCCAACGGTCTTCTTTCCAGATCACATACTGTGGCAAATAGTGATATGGAGGGAACCGAAACTGGTCCGCCCGCCAGCGCCCTACTGTGTCGGGGTCGCAACGGCGTAGCCCAGCTGGTTGCTCAGGTGGACGCCTCCTCGCAATCGCTTTCATTGCTGTTGGAAAGATTGCTCCCTCAGCCTGTCCAGGCCACACCGCTCCTTCTGAGAGCCATTGGTCGGCATTTGGATATTCCGCCTCCGCATAAACTTCGGTCCAATGTTCTGCTTCCGCAAAACGAAGGCCTTCCAGCGCACCTTCCAATTCCTCCGATGTCCAACACAACCTGGGCCTGTTCATGGGCACTGCATGCGCGCAGTTCAGCCAATAGGGCATGACCTCCAAAGCTTGTGAGATGGTCATGCAGTCAGTTTTGGCCATACTGGCCACGTTCTCCGCCACATACTTTATCACAACATGCAAGGGCGCTCTCGCCTTCAAAAGCTTCAGAATCCTAACCACCTCCCAAAACAATCCTGAAGCCTGTCCTTCCAACCCTTCTCGACGCGCCTTTGCACTTGAAAGGTCAGTGCAGGGAAAACCGGACCACAAGTGCACCTCTTCCAAAGGGACCACCTTTCTAAACCAGTTGTCAATCACCTCCTCGTTGATTTCCCTCACATCGCCAACAGGCTCGGCATTTGGCCAGCGTTTGGCTGTTACCCGTTGAGCAGGCCCATGGATGTCACAAACCACCACATATCTAGGAGCTATTCCTAAAATGTCATAACACCTGAGGGCCCCGCCTATGCCATTGAAGAGTGACAGCACCAAAATGTCTGCCGTGGCTGTGTGGTGACCTTGTGAGGTGGCCCCCACAAAATCTTTTCCTTCTTCTGACAACTCAGTCGCAACGCCAACTGCACCACCAGTCATTGATGCGTCGCTCGCTGTCATTACCGGCGACACTTCCGCACCAAGGAAACAGTGAAGGAAAGGGACAGCACAGATGCACCAAAAGAGCTCACGCCGAACCTTCCAAGTTAAGCTCAGCTCAAATCTCTTTGAAGCAGTAAAGGCCCATGTGTGTTCCAGCAGGGCCATGGCCGGCCTGCGGAACTGGAAAACATGCACCCAGCGTCCAGCAATGACCTGGCACAACTTCTTGGACAAATGAGCCTGCTTCAGCAAAATAAGAGTGGCCTGAACCAACTTTAGAAGCCTGTCAGGTGAGCCCCCCATGGTTCGGTTGGCTCCATCTATCATAGCTCCCAGTTCTTGTCCCTCAATCTCAGCGCTCTTCCTTTTCTTGCTTGACGACACAACCCCGCTTTCAGACCATGCCTGCTCGGCCAACTGATGAAGCTCCTCACCTTCATAAAAATCAGCGCCCTTCTCAGCCACTTGTCCAGCGGCGAAATTGTCCAAGTAGACATGCCACCAAGTGCGCCCCTCCGATTCAGCTTTATTCAACATATCACTCATCCATGGAGGGACTCCGCGTCCACGCAACAGCTGTCTATCAGAAGGGAGGTGCCCCAGCTCCAGGATCTTTTCACTGGCCTCTTGCATGATGGCCACTGAGCTGTTCCAACCCATGGGTAGGACTCGGCAAGCTAATGCGAAGTCCTTTTCCGGCTCCAATCCGATGTCCTGTCCAGCAGCGATGAGGTTGAAACTTAACAGCGGTCCCCAAGCATCCGGAACCCTAAAAAGATAGAAAGCGTTTTGCATGTCACTTTGCCAAATTCTCAGCTCGCACCCATCTTCGATCACTGTACTCATCCATGAAGTTATATGGGGCAGGTTTGAAACAGCCCCAGAAAATCCCTTGATGATGGCATTGGAGGGCACCAGGTTCATGATCAAACGTAAAACAGGTTTTCCAGAAGCCAAAGTTGATGGTTTTTCTACTCCAAAAAGACCGTTAAGAACTCGTTGTTGTCGATAAACCAAAACATCCTCCAGGGGCACCCAACGACAAACTCCCCGATCTACCAACACACGTGCCAACGGGAGTTCAGAGCCCTTTTCAATATGCAGTTTTCCTTGCAGTTTGGGCAACTCCTGTCCAACGTCTTTTACAATCATTCTTTTGGGATGAGTCAAGAAGTGTTTTGTTGAAGAAGAAACAAATCGAAGAATATCAATACACCCACCATGTTCTTTTGGAGGAAGAGAAGGGAGGACCTGTTCCAAAGACAAACTGTGACAAACGCCTACTTCTTCCCCTGAATAACTCACGCGCTTGCTCTTCAAATCTTTTTCCAACCCGGCAAAGTCGCAGTGACTGACATCCCCATGACTGAGCAGCCGGTCGGCCGCCGTTGTCACGGAGGCTGCAAGCTCCCGTTCAAGTTTGCTCCATTTGCCAGACTGAAATGGCACCGGAGCGCCAACCAAAGTATTGCACGCAAAGCATGCCAGCATAGCCCAGCAGGCTGATGACCACTCTCTCACAAAGGAGTCCTCACGGATAAAGTCCAGAGGTTGTGATCTCAGCCGTTCAGATAGGGGCCCAAAGTCACCCTCTCTGATTGGAAGGGCCTGCCGCGAGCGCCAAGCCCTGTGCCATGCGCCAAAAGCAAAGATGCCATCCAATATCTTTGAACTTCCTTGCACGCTCGAGATACCCTCAGCGTTTACAAGGAGCCAAGCCAAACTGCACCCAGCCTGTTTCAAGGTCTGACACGAAGACAAAATGTCCTGAAGGCTTAGCCCCTTCAGCCAAGATTGCCGCTCTTCTTCCCGCACGGCTTTTGCCAGCGGTTTTACTTGGTCGTCTCGGGCTTGTCTTTGTTGCGTTCCCAATCCGCCGCTGCCTTGTCGCCCGAGGCCAGAGAGGCTCCCTTTCCTTTGCCTTTGCCCTTCTGGGCTCCTCCTTTTCCCTTTTTGCCCTTGCTCGGTCCTTCGGACCAGTTTGCCCAGTCGGCGCGGTAGGAGCCCTTGCCTTTGCCGCCGCCTTGAGACTGCCAGGTACCCTTCCCTTGGACTTTGTCGACCAACCGGCTGTGCTTCCTCGACGCCAGCACCAAGGCAGAGGAAGCCGCCGTGGTCTCCTCCAGAGGGAAGAGCTCCATGTGCCTGGCTGTGCCCCAAGATTGATCCACCAGGCTCTGATGGATCGCCATGAAGCGGGCGCTGAGGCTGTCGCCCACTCTCGCCAGATCTCCTTTGCGTAGGAGGTCTATGGTCATTGCCAACATGTAGAGCTCCCGGAGTTCTCGAAGGTGATGGCCGTAAGTGGGCTTGATGTGCAGGTTGAAGTAGGTCGCAACCTTCACCCCACTCGTGACCTTCCTTCGACCTTCTCCCACTTCCATCAGCGCTTCCTGCTCCATCTGGCTTCTCACGTGCTCCGTCAACAGTGACAGCACGGAGCCCGGAGCATCTCTCGAGCGCTTCTTCATAGGAGCTTCCAAGTCCTCTTCTGAGCTCACCTCCTCGCCTGACTCCTCGCGGTCTGAGGAGTCGTCTTCCGAGCTCCTGCTTGAGCTCACGATCACTCCATCCTCCAGCCTCCTCCTCTTGCGACCCTTTTTCTTCCTGCTCTTCTTGTCCTGCTTCCGGTCCTTGTCCGAACCACCAATAAGGATCTGCTTCAAGAGGGTGAGGGCTTTGTCTTTCTTGTCTTTCCTCTTCCGAGCTTTCTTCCGAGCTTGATCCCGCACGTCCTTGACAGCGAGGGCCCGGTTGAGTAGCTGATCGTTCAAGCCTTTCGAAGTAGCGCCTTTTGTGACCTCGTACGGGACTATCTCCTGGTCCCTTCCGGAGTGGCGCTTCTCTTTCTTCTTCTCCTTCTTCTTGGGCTTGTCGGTCAACTGAGTCCCTGTATAGAGGGTCTCTGAAGGTGAGTAACCTGTAGTTTCTTCCCCCGATCCATCTTCTTCCTTCTCGTCCGAGCCTGATGCTACTTCCACCGGGCTCTTCTCCTCTTCTCGTCCTCTGTGAACTCCTCGAAGGGCCTTCAGTTTTGCCTTGAGAGCCTCCCGTTTTGCCGCATCGGAGGGTTTTCCAGCGGGCGTTTTGGGTTTGGCTCCTGGTTTGGCTCGTCCTCCAGGAGTTTTCTTTCCATCGGGCTTCTCCTTGGGCGGAGCTCTGGCGCGACGCTTTGGCTTTGCCAGCTTCTCTGCTTCCCGACGCCAGGCCTCGAGAGACTTGATGGCATCCTCCCGCACATAATCGGCGACGAAATTGTCGGGGCTCCACAAACGAATTCGAGTAGCATGGATGGCTTCGGTCTCTCCGAAGATGATGCAAGGCTTTGACAAACACAAATGGATATGCTTCGAGCCACGGCGAAAATACCCTGCCAGCTCGGTATCCATTGGTTCGTACTCGCATCCCATGAAGTGAACCTCCACCACATGTGATCCATCCATTTCGTTTGCAACCCCTTTGATGAAGAAAGCCGCCCAAGCCTGATGATCGATAGCTCGGTCGGTGCTCTCCATGTCCACCTCGAGGATGGTTCCAGGCGAGGGCACAAAACTGCTCCATTCTGCCTGTTCTTCAAGCGTATATTCTTTTCCTTCCGTAAAGGCCAAAGCCATCTCACCTACCCAGTTGGGCGAGCTCCAAGGAGCCCGGTTGTTCTGCACTCAATTCCCAGAAAGAACGTCCAGGAACTCGATGTATCAGAAGATCTGGTTGTTGTGCAAGGCGATGAAGTCTTTTGTGCTTGCGTCCACCTCGACGCTTCCCACTGTGATGTGAGGATCGTCTCCTGCGATCTCGACTTCGGTCACGTTCTTGGCTGCGATCTCGGCGTGTCAGCTTCACAGGCAAGTTGCGCGTGCCTGGATAGGACTTCTCCGGTGGAGGTGGCGGCGTTGGAGGTCGTTCCTCCCTGATAGGACGGTGATCAGCGTCCCTTGGGGGGCTACGCTCGACCTGGTCCTCTTCTTCCTCGCTCTCCTCGGAACAGTCCTCTGTGTGCTGCTCTTCCTTGGCGCTTCCACGGCCTTCTTCTCCACGTCGACGAGGAAGCTCTTCACGTTCTCGCCTCTTAGGAGGGCTCCTCGGCTCAGGCACGGCCGGTGGAGGCTCAGGCGTACGCGCGCGGGGAGTCCCAGCGGTAGCACCTGAGCCTTCCCTTGCCAGCCCAGCACTTAGTGAGCGTAGGGCTCGCAACTGCCGGGTGGCTGAGACAACCACGTCGTTGCCCAGCCTCCTTGCCCCACTGTTCTCCCAGTGGGCAGTGAGTTCCCTGCCTAGGGCTTTGCAGGCAGTGCAGCCTACGCACCAGGAATCCCCCTCCGAGGCTTGAAATCCCCTGCACTTGGCACAAGTGATAGGGGGCATTAAACCCCCAAAAAGGATGCTAGTAAGCCGAAATGCATCACAACCGTGAACTTCAACCTATGCTTCAAGCAGAAAACATTGTGGTTAATTCCATCCAATCACATTAAGTCCCACTATATATTCCATGAAATTCCATCAAATCCATTATCTATCCCATTCATGTGGTAAACCTATGTATGTAAACCTAATAAAAAGCCATCCCGAAATCAGCATAAACGGGTAGCATCAACCATTGAAAATGGCAGGTTTATGGTTGGGTTCCCCACATTCCCATTCTGTGCCAAGCTGCGCCGCAAGAATCCCAAGAGCCACTGCTGCTGGGACCCAACACAGGGCCCGCCTGGGATGATTTTTATGTAACCAGGAATCATAGACCTTAATCATTGTAACCAGGAGGATGTTAGTGATTCATACTTACTTGATGAATGATAGGATATAGTGATTAAATGTGATTAATAGTTGAGGAAAATCGTAGGATATGGGTGATTAATACTAGTGATACTACTGTAGTGATTCATAGTTGAGTAATAGTTGATGATTTGTTGATTCATATAGGATAATATAGCAATCACCATTGGATTAATTCTAGTTGATTAACAGTGATATCAGTCATTCATAGTTATCATAGTTGAGGAACAGTAATAATAGTGATGTTGGCAAGTTGGTGGTCACCAAAATAGTGATATTCCAATCAAAGATGGCGCCCAATAGAAGGCCGGGCCTTCTTCCAGTGAATGCCATCCGGGCTAAATGCAGCACCTGCTGTCCAGCGTAAGCCCGTTGACTCGAACTTCGCCGTGTGGTAGGACATGTACCTGAGCTGATTGTTGCTCCCAAAATGTTCCCAGAGTAACTGGAATTGCGCTATCCATCGCGGTCCATGGATCAATTTGAACATCCTCTTGGGGTCCCAGAGTTCGACGAGTTCGACTGGGCATGAGTCAAACAACCCCGCGAAAGGTGACCCCCGCCCAAAAGTTCGTACTTGGGGGGGCTGATTGAATCCCCATAATACCAAATAAGAACAATAAAAAAGAATAGTAACTATTATTATTATAGTAATTATAATAGTCAATAGCAATAAGAATCTACAAATTTAGAGATGCCCTTTGCAAACACCCGCCGAGGCGCCACTGATTCTTTGGAATTCCTTTGACTCCTTTGGTCAGCCATGGAGGTAGAACTCGTGGCCATGCCTCAGCCGCGCGTACGATTCAGGCCGTAGGGGAGGCTCAAACTGGATGGTTTGCTACATGTTACCAAATAGAAATGGACCAAAACCTCTGATGCTCTGGGTTTAATTTTTTGATTCATAACCTCCTGCTCCTCTCTAGATACTTCAATTTCTCAACATGTCATTCAGATACACTTTGCAGCAGCCATTCGGGGATGAGTCACAATTTCCCATCGAAAAAACACTGATCTTAGGAATCTTGCTCATATAACTAAACTTCCATCTTTGTGTATTTGTCTGAGTCTAAGTTACCATCCCACTTTGGGTGTGTATATATATATATATTATGTATATATATATATACATAATATATATATATACATAATATATATATATACATAATATTATGTATATATATATATATTATGTGTATATATATATATTATGTATATATATATATTATGTATATATATATTATGTATATATATATTATGTATATATATATATATTATGTATATATATATATATTATGTGTATATATATTATGTGTATATATATATTATGTATATATATATTATGTATATATATATATATATTATGTATATATATATTATGTATATATATATATATTATGTATATATATATAATGTATATATATATATTATGTGTATATATATATTATGTATATATATTATGTATATATATATATTATGTATATATATTATGTATATATATATATATTATGTATATATATATTATGTATATATATATTATGTATATATATATATTATGTATATATATATATTATGTGTATATATATATTATGTATATATATTATGTATATATATATATTATGTATATATATTATGTATATATATATTATGTATATATATATTATGTATATATATATTATGTATATATATATTATGTATATATATATATATTATGTATATATATATTATGTATATATATATTATGTGTATATATATAATGTCTTTTCCTCCAAAATCTATTGGTGAGCTTTCCCATTTTAGGCCCAAGGCACCACGAAGAGGGCGTCAAAGTCCTCCTCGTCTCCCGGTGAAAGCACCGGCTGCCCTCCCTCCGCGCGCTGCCATTTGAGCCCATCCTCCGATGTGGCTAAGCCTCAGCCGCAACTCCCTGGAGGTCTCCGAAGGCTCCGACGGGGATGGATTGGATTCTGAGTTTCTAGCAATTAGGGCATGAAATGTTGGGCTGCGATGTGTGCTTTCTGTGTGTTGCATATGTATATATTTATATATATAATATAATATATATATATGTATGTGTGTGTGACATTGTTTTTGTCATGTAAGACAGATGTAAGTCCAACTCTGCATGGTTGCTGGCGCGTTTTAATGCTCGAAAAAATGGTTCCATAGGTCCCACAAGGAATATAAACCGAATAATTCGATTTGATTCCTTTTTTCGGTGTTCTTTTCATAGAATATTGGATATTTTAGTGTTACCAACTGACCTTGTAACAATTACCCTTTGGATCCCTTTGGTAATTTGACATGGCGATATCATGCTAAATCAAGAAATAGGTAAATCATTGACATTTCTATGGGCCATGGCAGCCATGGTTTCCACTTCGCAAGGGTTGGAAATTCCTGGTTTGTTCAATGCAGAGCCACCAATCTGCATGCGAATGCCCTGGTTTGGCAAACCATCGAGGCCCCCTGGCAGCTGGTGGAGCCGACGTTGATCTGGGTGGAATTCCCGTTCCAACATAGTTGGTGGACAGGTCATCTCCCATGATACATGTATATATAATTATATATAATTGTATACCTGGAGCGACCAAACCCTGGAATTCAGGGTGCCGCTCAATACCTCGGGTATTCCCTAGTTCTGCGGGAAAACCTCGGGTTTTCCCAGATTGGGCAATTTTCCAAGTTGAAACCACACTTCGGCGGGGAAAGTTCCCAAAATGTAGCACCTGACTAGTTGGTTTCGGTCACCTGTGGCCACTGAGGGCTGAAATTTGGCCACAAAAAGTTTTGTAATCGTTTCTCCAATCTCTATTGAGCGCATTTGAGAAAATGTGTGGGAAGAAGCAGGTCGAACCTGTATTAATTATCCCGTGGGGAACCCATGATTATCGCGTAATAACCCGTATTCCACCTTGGTTCCCACACACCCTACTTTTTTCCCAACTCGTAAGTGTATTTATCCCGTAGGGAACCCGTAATTTTCCCATAATAACCCAACCCTGAAAACAAACAAATAACATCAACACAAATTCAGCAGTCATGTGGCAAGTGGTGCGCACCCAAAGGCTAGGACAGTATGTGAATATATTATTCAAGAGTCTGAATGAAGGGTTTTCTACCTTCTCAATGGTATGTGCCTGTCTCAACCCTCCCCCCTGTATCAAAGGTGCTTTCTTTTTCCCCTCCTCAAAGGTCCTGGTTTCCCAACCGTATTCCTGGAAAACTTTCCCATGTTCGAATGATTTCTCAAGGCCAAGTGTTTTCCCACAGTGAAGGTTCGCGCTCAAGGCTGCCAAAAAAATAAAAAATAAAATAAAATCCCGGAGACAAACCAATACCCTGGGGAAGAACACTTGCGACCGAACATTGCAAATATGCACAAAACATGCTATGTGTTTTTCTCAATGGTATGTGCCCGTCTTATTTTTTTAAGATTTTTATTTTTATTTTTTCTCCCCGGAGGTCCCGGAGAGGAACCCTTGGAATTTCTTCCCCCGGAGGTCCCGTAGAGGAACCCTTGAAACCCTTTTGCTCGTTTTTTTCTCTTCGTCGTCTTTCGTCGTCCGTCGTGTTTCAATGGGGATCCTTGAGACAGACACTTGACCTGAGCAAGACCACAAACGAGAAAGTACCTTGGCGCAGACCTTCGAATTATATAAAAAGGGAAAAAGCCGGTTCTTTCCGGAAAACCTCGGCTATTTTTGAAACCCTGGAAATTTCCAGGTATATAATGGTATATATACCATTATATACCTGGATATATTATATATATGTATATTATTGACGTACAAACAGTTAGCCATACGTATCTTATAGCCAGGTTGAAGGACAAAAAATGCGACCCCTCTGTGATGGCAAAGTGAGATTGATAAGGCATTTTCTGACTGTTAGTGTGACGGGGAGGCGCTCAATGTAGATAGATAAATAGAATAGAATAGAATAGAATAGAATTGAATTGAATTGAATTAGAATAGAATAGAATAGAATAGAAATAGAATAGAAATAGAATAGAATTAGAATAGAATTAGAATAGAATAGAATAGAATAGGAATAGGATAGGATAGGATAGATAGTCATAAGAGCTTCTGACCACATTGAGCTCATAAGCAGCAACAGAAGACTTGACCATGAACTCCCAGCATATGACAGTTATCTATTATCAACGTGGTTGGTTGTCAAAACAAAACATCAATCACTCAAAACATCAATCCCTCAAAATAGCGCTTCCTTTGACCAGCGACATGTAGCATTGAACGGCTTTCGATTTCTGTACTGTTTGATTTTCCTACCTTCTTCATGGTCCAACAAGTATTTTTGTTAAAAAAAAGCGTTCTACATCTCTCGTGAACCTGGGACCCACAAATTTGGCACCTCCAAAATAGTACATCCAAAGTGTGCCATTTGGCAACTGCACGACATCACCTTTGGGACGGTTGGAACCAGATTTTTTTTCGGTGATCCCTGGGGACCCAAAGATGCAACATGGGTAAGATGGGCGACATGGCCCGACATGGGCCTCAACAGGGCCGGGAAAATCATGGCTTGGGATGTGAATGACATGTTTTTTTCTGAGCTTTCGATTCGATATTTCGTTGAACTTATTGATCTCATTGCTACTTATTGCTCCATAGCAACAACACCCAATTATGATGGCTCCAACACGGCCAGCGGTCAAGTCCTGAAACCGGCTCGCCCGGCTTTCGGAAGAACAGTTGGCATCTGGACAACTTCCGACATCAAGATCCGCAAGTGGCAACTCATTTCATTAATATGACAATGACAAAGTCACAAATAATAAACAGCAATATGAAACTAGTATGACAAGTAATACGACGGCTCAGTAACACTTTACGTTTGAGATTGGATTCTCCAATCTTCTGCCCTCTTCGAGCAGCTCCGTCCAAAATTGCCGTAGCAACAGGACTGAAATCCACATTGAAATCACAGCTCTTGCAGCCCCATGTATCATCACGAGTTCTTGGGTACACCACAGTCCTGATCTGCTCTTCGCCCCGAGAGTTGACCATGTTTTGGGCGTCAAAACACTGGAAAATCTCACCCAGAAAGATCATGTGTTCGTCATTTTTGGGTCCGGAGGGGCTGAGCCCAAAAAGTGCTTCTCTGCAACTATTGAGTCAGGTTGTCATTTGTTGGCTAAGTTTTATATCATTGGTGTATATTGGTGTGGCATTGTTTTGTCGTTGTGGTGTTGTATTTGTTTGTCGAATGCTGTCAAGTTTTCCTTTTGGGATGCTAAGCCCACCCAAAAAATGACAGGGGCATGACTATAATATGTTTTGACCTCAGCCTGTGTTGACAAGATTTTTATAGCTCTAAGGTCTCTAAGTCCCGGCAATATATTGGGCTACATCCCCGTTACATTCGCAGTGAGTTGTATCTCCCCATGCTGGGCTGTCGCACCCACCCCAACGTGCACGGAGTCAAAGGCATCTTCAGAGGGATCCAAGACTGCACCACCCTGCCGGACGACGGGGCAAACGACTCCTTTGTTTCCATGAAACTTTGGAGCACTTCGGTGTCAAACATGGATAGAAACTCCCCGAACTTTTGATGGGCATTGAATTGGGGACAACCCTCGAATCCATTGCGGATTAGAGGGCAACTGCCAAGTAAGTTGCGGAGCTGACTTAATGAGGTCGCGGTCTTAGGGCCGCCCGAAAAACAGTCATTGGAGATCATCGAGGTAGAAGAGAAACATATGGAGCTTTCTTAAGTCCTAAGTCATGGGGGTACCGCCAACTCAAGTCATGGACGACCATGGCTTGAAAGCAATGGCAGCTATGGTGACAACCGGGGATCCCCCATGACGACTGAGCCAAGGAGGCCCAGGAAAGTCAGCATTGAAGCAGCGAAACATGGCTGAGGCTCTATCAATGTTTCTCAGTTCCATCTTGGATATTGAAAATTGAAACCATACTAGAACATCGGGTGCGGTTCATCATTTCGATATATAATCATGAGTATCATATATATATAATATATATACTTAAATATATTATATATGTATATATATAGATGTATAATTATATGGATACGTTGGTACAGTATATCAACTGGTGGGTATTCGGCCGCAAAATTTCTAGCTCTTGCAGTTGAAACAACCACCACGCCTCCAAGGGGCCTTTACATCTGCGCCACTTGAGACCATCGCTGGATGTGGCGCAACCAATACGCCCTGTGGGTAGAAAGGCCTTGAGACCCTTGGCCCACTCGGTACCTTGGAGAAGGAGTAGGAGATTCTTATTTTATGGTGATATACCCTCTGGTAGTTTAACATAGCTATTGAAAATGGCCATTTATAGTGAGTTTTCCCATTAAAAATGGTGATTTTCCATAGCTATGTTAGTTTACCAGAGATCATGGGAATCTAATGGATATAGTGTGATATTCTAGGATATAGCATATCGTTAGAAGATGTTAGAAGTTAGAATTCTGGTTTGCGTTTCTGAGTGCCAGCCAATCTCGGACGTTCTTGTTTTCTCCCCATTAGTAAAGGCAGATTAAACAAAGCAGTCAAACGAGTCAAACCTATCCTTATTAGTGAAATCAGCATTTGATAATTAATGACTGACAATATCTCGCAGTGCATGATCCTACCGTGGACGACGTATTCCAACCTGACATTGCTCCAATGGACGAGTGGTGGAATCTTGTGACATTATGTGACATTCACAGTATAGCGAGCATCCTACAATATCTTACAATTCCATACAATTCCTACATGTTGATTTGTAGATACCACAAGGTCTTTAGCTATTCACAACATTTTTCATGCTCGTTCACCACAGGGCTTTTCTTGCGCGAAACAACCCCATGATCATCCACTGGTACTGACGACTGGTGAACCATGAAAGCAGAAAATAGCAAGAGACTACAGAAAAGTACTACCCTCTGGTAATTTAACGTAGCTATTGAAAATGACCATTAATAGTGGATTTTCCCATTAAAAATGGTGATTTTCAATAGCTATGTTAAATTACCAGAGGGTATCATTTGGATATTACATCTCAGAATATGATCATCTATACATCATATTTTTTAGGAAGGCAAAAGACTACAGAATTTGGCTTCCCATTTCTGACGTTTCTCAAAACTGAAACAGGAAAATGGCAACAGGCGTCACCTGCCTGCACGGCCATAGTACCACATTCTCCACTGACCTCGCAGAGCATCGATGGTGCAGCAGGAAACAACATCCAAATGTATGCAACAGGCCTCCGAATTTGAAGCTGGATATTGCTTTGCAACTATCGAATTCTTGAACGTTGAATATTATGAAGTATAGATTAATCTGAAATTAATAATATAATATATATATATATTATTCATGTTTGCCTTGTGAAAAACTAGATTAAATAAAACGTACAATGTATTGTATCTAATACCTATTATCCAGTTATATAAATAGCTCGTATCTATTGTATCTTTTTTGACCTAGCATATGCGTTTTACTATATGGTCTATATCTAAGATCCCTGTTTCAATCATTGCACCTATTATATCTCCCAATTGTGGCTATACAAATATACATACAATTGCAATAGAAAAATGCAAATAATACTTGATTTACTTTTATATATAGAGAAAACAAGCAAAGAGTATATACTGATATCAAATATGTATAGGATCAACAAGTTGAATACCAACATAGACATATATATGATTATATGTGTTTGTTATAGTGCTTGATATCCATATGTATATATGCCAGACATACATCCCTATGGATCCAAGTACCGTCTTAGGAAGTCCTTGGGGTATGATTTTGGGGGGCTTTAGTTGTACCTTCAACAGTGGATCGGCCATGATATATATGCATATATAATTACATAGATCAATATCTATATTACATATAGACATGGATCAACATCAATCTCATACACATATATATATATATATAATCATGTATCTATATATATATATATCATTGGTTATATTATAAATACATGTGGATGTATATAATATATCACAGGCATGCAAAAAAAAAAAAAAAACGGATGGCCGCCAGGTGACCATTGGGCTCCGTTGGAGGCTTCACCACCGGTGAGGCGGAGTTCCGGGCATCCCACCTTTTTTTGGAAATCCCACGGAAATCGGGGGTCCCTTGGAGCTTGGGGATGTCATATACATATATTATATTATATAGATAATTATAAATATAGAGATATATATATATATATAATTATATGTAGATATATATATATAATTATATATACATGTATATTGAACATATATTCCAGAGAGTAGCAAACTGTTAAAATACCAGAAGGTATTATAGGAAACCCATCAAAACAATGTTTCCAGGATGGTATTGATGATATGTACTAACGTGTCTATTTTTCTTGTGTGCGCAAAAAATGGTAAACCAATACAGAAGATAGAAAGAAAGGTGAGATCCGAGTCACGTTCTATCTTTTTGGGGATGACTATCCATCCATATACAGCATATTTATTGAAAATGGTGGTATCAACCAAGCAGTTCTGGGGGTATCACGCCAGCCATTGAGGATATAATGGAATATGTCCTGCGATGTTTTAGGATAAAACAAGCAATATGATAGATTGATGCGTCGGGGTGCACCGAGTACCTAAGAAACCATCAAATAATTGGGAAAATGATGATGCATCAGTGGATGGAATGTTTTCGAGACAACCCCATAGCCCCATATATAACATTATATAACCTCGGGATATAATGTTGAATAATGTGGTTACTGACAACGATGCCTGGAATTCTGGAATGCACCCCTAGTTGCACCCAACTTCGCGGAATTGGCCAATTGGCAGGCCAGGATCCGTTTCTAGCAGGCCAAAGCAGCGTGCTTACTGTTTTGGCCAGATCCCACTCGCCCATGACATTTCCGGGGATGTTGTGTTATACAGAGCCAACATGACCGGGACAAAGAGCAATCAACTAGCTAGTTCACCCTCCCAGTTGCATTGCACAAGTCGTCACTTGTTCATAGCTCTCTCAGCATGGGGGCCATATACAATCGGGTTTAAAATTTTGAACTTGCTTAATGTGGATATTTTCAGTTGGGGGAGGTCAAAACCTCCCCAACCCCTGAGAACTGTCCGCGTTTTGATCAATTTTGGTACCCGATTGTCACCCACACATGGGATGCACGTCGCTGGTCCTTAACATTGCCAATCGAAATAACCCTGCAATAAATATTCTCTTAGTTGATTAGGGATACATCCCCCATTTGTGGTAAAGGACTAACATATCAAACTATGCTCTTCACCATTTAGTTTCCCCTTCTCTTTTGGTTTCAACCCCATGTGTTGTTGCTTAAAACATCTTAAAACCATGAAAAACCGCAATGTTTGATGCTCAAACTACCCCACCAAGGTTGAATTCCCAAGCACCCAGTGGCATCGCGGCGTCAGCCCAGCAGCCACTGCGGTCCCTCCTTCTTCGGCACCACCAAAGGTGTGGGTCGACCGCTGGGAGCTCCACGGGGGGAGATACCTCTCCTGCGGTGCATGGAAGTGATGACACCGGAGGGTCATGGCTTTTTTGGTACGGGGGTGGAAATGGTAGTTATCATGATAATCCCATGAAATGGATTTGAATGGTCAACAAATCCTTGACTATCTCATTGGCAAGGTGGGGATAGGCCGCAAAAAATGACTCAGTTGATTCAGGGGAAAATGGACAAACAAATTTACCAGTTGTTTGTTTGCTTCTTCCAAAATTGTCCTGCATCCAATTCTGGAAAAGAAGTAACATACAAATAATATGGGTTTGATTTGCGAATATGGATCAACCCGCGGCAAAATCGGGGTTTAAAGCAACCAAAGTCGATGGATTTGACACAACCCAAATCTTTGGGTGTATAATGGTGTATATAAAGCCACCAAGAGTTGTTTCTGTTTGCCGCCAAACATGTAGATGTGGATCATGTGAGGTGTTGGCACCTATTGATTTTGCCTCTGAAGGGCGGGCCGAACCTCCAATTCTATACACCACGTGCTTTGATGCGATGAGCAGAGGGTGTCATGGCTTTGATCGACCAACGATGATTGGTGGCTGCGACATCTATGAGCGATGATTGGGAGAGATCCATGGATATTGCAGCAGTTCTGGGAGTCATTTCCTGCCCAAACCTGTGTGCAGCTCTGTCAATGTCGTCGCTGGCATGTTGACCAAGTGAGTTGTTCTTCTTGGATGTAAAAGTCGTCATTTCCATACCAGGAACACTTCTAGATACCATTGCACAAAAAGCCCATGGCATCCTATGGCCTTTGACACCGTCACAAAGTTAACATGAAACCCATGAAAATGAATTGCAAAAACAAGGTGCCCAGGGCGAAAGAAAGTATTGCTTGTGCGCAAAACACCGTGCCCGGCCCAGCACCTGAGGATCTGGGTACATCTTTTCGGCGCACGCCACTCTGACACCTCGGCGGTGAGTTGTTCCGTCCCGTCGTGGTGAATCCAAGCATATTGGGTGTATAATTCCCCATGCGCCCGGGAAACATCATCACCTTCTGGGAAAATATGGGAACATAGGCAATGTTTTGACCGGACAGTTTTGGAGGGAAATGGCCGATGGTCCAGTTGGAAGCTACACGTCATGGAGTTCAAAGGCCAAAGCAAAATGAGGTGGTGCTGACTCCTGCCATGATCAGAAATCCCTGCCATGAAATTTAGAGTAAGATCGTCACACATTGTCACACCATCCCGAACAAACCTTGGATCATATCTTATTATTGGAGCTATCTTCTTCCATCCTAAAGGCCTAAATTGTCTAGTACAATATGTACTGGAGATCCGATTGTGATTCACCAGTGCAAAAACTCGCAGCAATCCCCAACCTTGGGTCTAAATTATATCTTAATGAGGAGAATAATGAACCAGTGCTTTATTTTTTGTGTTTTCCAGCATGTGTTTCCATGATTTTCCCGAGATGTTTGGGGCCCAAAACACCTCTCCGTGCCCGTCGTGGCTCCCCGCAAAGGCGTTGCTTCCACACAGGAGAGCCGCCAGAGCTGCCAAGGCCCATGACCGGGCTGCCGCGTGGGCCATGCGGAATGTTTTCTGATTGTGTCCAACTCCACAGATGATGTGTTTGTTTTGGCTCTGTTCAGAAACTTTGGAGTCTTGGCCCGCCCTGAAAAATGTTCCACAAGGATAAAACAAAGTGACTCTGCTGAACCAAGAAATCAGTTTTGAGTTTCTGGTCTGTTGATTGACCATGAGGTTTCTAGAAAATGCCAGAAGTAGAGCGTTGGGAATCAATTGAGCTAACAGGGACCTTGGCTGTAGTTCTCTGTAGCTAATGGACTCTCATGGATTCCCCAGATTCAAAGCTGGCTAACTTTGGTGGTGACATTTATCCATCCTCCAATATTTTTCAACGGATGACCAGAATTTTCAGCACCTTCCACCAATCATGTTTGGTCATGGCCATCCCTCTCCAGGATGTTTGACTTTGGCTCCATACCGACAATACCGATCCACTGCTGGTTTAAGCCGTGTGCCAAGCCGATGGTTTTAGGCGACAGTATCAAAAACAGTACCCTCTGGTAAACTAACATAGCTATTGAAAATGGCCATTTATAGTGAGTTTTCCCAATAAACATGGTGATTTTCCATAGCTATGTTAGTTTACCAGAGGGTACTCTTTGACATTCCACAGCACACGGCATGTTCTTTTTATCCCGCACTTTGGCAGTAGGTCCTGACCCAATGCGAGAGGAACCACCGGTCAGTGCAAAAGACTTGGTACAATCTTTTGGGCCAGCCTAAAGTTGTCCCGTGGGGGGGCCATCAAACCACGATTGGGGATTCCAAAATATTCCAAACACATTGGGTGAACAGAATGTGAAAAAACAATTGTCCAATTCTTGGTGTGGGAGCACCATGCCCCAATATGAATATAGGTGTGTTCAACCCGGTAGACCGGTAGACCCATGGATTGTGAAACACAGCGTTTGTCTGAAAATGGGCTGCCCCATTCCATCCACTCATCATCATATTCTCCAATAGGATTGCTATTTGAAGGGTATGCCAACTTTTCATACTAAATCGCATGTAAATCACATGTTCATGACATATCATGCCATGTTCAGCAAACATGGGCTTCCCTTGGGCCCTTGGGGCCATCCCGGATCCAGCTTGCCTAAACGATTGTCATCAAGCGGAGGTGGTTCACCTGCATGGTCCGGCCTCAACGGGCTAATGTTGAGGCTGTCGTGAACTTTGGAACCCTAAAATCAAATGGCTTAGCGGCTTAGCGTCCCACATTGGGAGACAAACCCATGTCTTTGAGATTGTTTTTGTGGTTGCAAGGGATTTCAAGAGCCTTTGGAAACACGCATCCTGTCACCACATCTGCCCTCCAGAGCTTCATTTCAGCCACTTTACACGAGGTAAGTTTTTCGACGTCCGGTGATTTTGGGCATTGCCAAACCCCGCCAAAACCCGCCAAATCCATGGCGCTATGCGACTTCGTCAGCACATACTTTGCCTTTAAAGCTTAGGGGCTCAGGAACGTGTTTTTCTTCGCCCTGAAATTGCTATGCGCGCATATTCGAATTGGTTTTTAGTTCTAAAATGTTTTGGGGTGGTGGATGGGGTTGCCAGCGGATGCATGTTTGCTATATTGAATCATAAGCATTCTGTGCATGTCAGACTGAAATGATACATGATTCTACATGATCTATGTTTAAAAAGATCGTATTTCCCAAAACATCCAAGTACATCCACCTACTCTTCCTGTAAGGTGACCTAAGGCCTCAAAAAAAATGCTTGATCCAAGCCGTTCCACCAAGGATTTGTTTGGGGCGTGTTTCATACCCGGTACCATTTGGTTATGACTAACATAGCCATGGAAAATCACCATGTTTCATAGGTAAACCATCTATTTCTATGGGCCATCTATACCATGGCTATGTTAAATAACCAGAGGGTATGGAATATTGTAGACTGAGGCATCAGTTTTGGTCCAATGATGATAATGATGTCGATGTCACATCCCATACTCAATGCTGGTCGCTGCAGGTGTCTCACCAAATATTCAGCAGCGTTGAGAAACCTGAGATGTCTTCGGCTTTTCTGCCCATTTCTGCCCATTTCTGCCCATTTTCGTCACTTTTGCAAAGTGTCCACGTTCCATTGCATCGCCAGAATAACCAAAAAAAAAGCTCAAGGTGAGTTGCCCAATGATGCTGAAGCGGCTTCGATTTTCTGGAGTGTTTCCACGATTTTCAGGTACCAATCCCACAGCCCAAAGGTGGGCCCGTCCCCATTCAAATGGAAAAAGTTCACGACCCATGGTCATATCCCATGGAGAAGTATAGTTATAGCCGATTCGTATGAACTATATATATATGTTATGTCTACATCCATCATCATCCATCATCATCCATCATCATCCATCATCATCCATCATAATCCATCATCATCCATCATCATCCATCATCATCCATCATTCATCATCATCCATCATCTATCAACCCCCATGAAACCCCCGTTCCCGGCGGATTCGAGAGACCAAAGAGGATGAACAACGTGCCACCCATGATCTTCACCTTGCGATCGCTCACCTGAGATCGCAACCGCCCTTTTGGACGTTCCAGCTGATTCACTGACAAAGTTATGAGCGTATGAGACCTATAGATATAGGGGGTATAATATGGTATAATCGGTATAATGATGATTCCAACATGTTTATCTCACTGCCTTGTGTACATATCATATCATATCATACAGTACTCAGTACTCAGTCCGTAATAGAAACGGACCGCTGTAGATCCACCAAGTCACGTGCTCTTCCAAGAAGTGACCCGCCACCACTGCTAGAGTTCCTGCCACCAAATGTCCACAACCTGATCTCCCCTAATGGAATGATAGTTTGGGTTGGAAACTGGGCTGGTTTCAGGGAAAAATGGAAGGGAACTTTTGGAAATGGACAAACACTGGAGGTGGAAGAGCTGCTTGTTTTCATATTCGAAGATCCTGTGCAAATGATTCCTGAGGATCGGTCGGTTTTAGGTTGCAACTCTGGCACTTTGTCAATGGATCTATCAGTCCAATCTATCAGATACTTGGTGGGGACCCAATTTCGTGAATGTGCTTTGGCTAGTTGGTGAAACCTCAATACAGGGATCATTCCCAGTGGATTCCCCAAAAATGGTAGACATTAACCAATGGGAAAAATAAACAAAATCATCTTCAGCAAATCCGAGGTTATGATAACATGTATGTATATATATATGTATATAATCATCTAAATTCAATGTTGGATGGTAAAACAATGTAACACATCCATAAGTAAAGCCCCATCAAAGTTTCTGACTTGTCAACTTAATATAACTTAATATCATATCCCCATATCTCCCCATATATTCCCCATATATCCCCCATTTTTTGTTGAGATGTCGTCGTCCGGCCGGTGAAAACCGGCCGGTGAATCACCAAGAACTGCCGGGCTGCAGCCGCCGATGAGGACTCCGAAGGGACTCTTGGTGGTCGCCAGGGTGATCGTCGCTAGCCTCAGAAACGACATTTTTGGTCGTTCAGCCATGAGAACAATGGGAGTTCTTTTATGGGAATGATAGGAAATGATGAAATGTCTGGGATTTTATATGGAAACTGGAAATATATATAGAAATATGGAATTTTTAACTTTTTAAGATTGATTGAAAGTTTCAGGGAAAACCCATAGGGAAGCATTGTTTTTCCTTGAAGCAATCCTTCCAATTATTGCCGTAGAAGCCACAAGCAATTGGGTTGGCTTTGGAACCATGGCTGTAGGCTTCCGTGGTTTTTGGATTCCCCTACGAAATGGCCTTCTTTGGAGGCCAGTTGGATGCGGGCTCTGCTATGGGCACCAAAAATGTCGATGGAGTGAAAGTGACTGAGTTTCACTTTGTTTTACCCACATAATCTATTGAATCTATTCTGTCCTAAAGGATTCAGTCTCTGATTCTCTTGGACACTGGAACCACCGGAAATATGACAACTCAGAAAACTGTCAGAGCATCTCATAGCTGCAATCACATCACTTCAATCACAGATGCGACGTGGAAACCACCTTTGATGTGGGATTGCTGTTTGGGGATATTTAGGGAAAACATGGAGAAACCAGAAACCTTTCCCCATGGGATAGCCATCCCATCCTCCCATGATCCCAGGCACATGGAACGGTCGCCCCATTCCGCCAGAAAGATCAACACCTTGGCGCGACCCGTTTTGAACCTGATCGTCATTTTTTGATATATGTATATATATATAGTATATACTAGTAGTTATATATATGTATGTATGTGTGTATAGTATATATATAGTTATATATATATGTATGTATATATATATAATTATATATAATTAATTATATATATAATATTATATAATTATATATATAGTTTTTTGTGTTCAGTACTGAAACCATCCTTAAACCTGCAAAGCGCGGTGGTTTATCCCATCCCCAGCCCAATAGCCAACTGGAACCATCACTAAAGAACGCGGGTTGGTTCTGGCGGAAATAGGGGATTTCCCATTAGATATATAGTTCGTCATCCCGATTTTGTCGCTCCCCCACTCCACCATCGTTCTCAGAATTGAAATATAGTATTGAAATATGAACATTCCAGGCTTCTGTGGTGAATTGAGCGATGCAGTCGAGGCACGGCAAAGCGAAAGATATCCAAGAACTTGGACTTTTTCTTCTTTTTCGCCTGCACAGCATGCAGCAAGAATGTTACTGCAAGCATTCAGCACTCCCCACTGGCTGTATAAACGCTGAACATTCAGGTGGATATTCAGGGGGTCAAGATTCGTGGCATGAACATCACTGCATCAACTCGCTGACTTCGCAAGAGATTTGTTCCCCAATTGTCTTGTAGAACCCAGTGGTTCTCGCCAAGAGTCCAAGAGTTGGGCCTTTGAAATCAAGGATCAAGATCACAATCACAAAATACATTTTTTAGTATAATATATCATAGTATATTATAGATATATATAATTATATATAATTATATAATGCAATAATTCTGTAGCACGCCATGGAGTGGATGATGTTGGGGCGACCACCTTTGGAACCCAGGCTGCCTTGGTCAAAACGCCTTCAATCTGCGTGTGAGCATCGCCTTTGTCGTCACCTTCTTCGTCCGAGTCTCCTTGCGGATGATGTAGTCTAGCTGATAGCTGCATAGGTGATATATATATATATAATTATTTATAATATCATATTATATATATATGTGTGTGTGCGTGTGTGTGCGTGTGTGTGTGTGTGTCATGGTGAGATATATAATTAATATATATATATGTCATGATGATATATCCGAAAAACAGATATAAAATGATATAAGAGGGTGACTGTTTCCAAGTACCTCTAGGAACATATGACGCAACTAACTATGATATTTGTTTTTAGTCTTGAAACTGTGTATGTTTCAAAACAATCAAGCACCACAGTTCTCGAGGGAGAAGCGAGATGTATGGAGATCCAGGTGCTCTTACAGACTGTGCATTAAGCGTAACCAGTGTGCAGCCTCAATTACATTCAAAGTTGTTCCTCGCATGCGCGGTCTATTCAGCAAAGAAAAAACTCTACACTGATTTGCCCATCTTGATTGCTTGGACGGGTTCAAAAGGAAGTGGCGTACCATTCGCATTATCTCAGATGTTTCCAACATAAGGTTCAGTTCTCACGCGATATCTTGATCATATGTCAAAACACCATGTGTACAATGACCAGTCCATCTGTAGTCACACTGCAGTCCCCTTGGCCACAAAAGACCTGACCCCCCATTCCCTGCTGCGCCTGAGGAAAGCTCCCAAAAGGACTGGAGGCCAAAGAAAATCATCAACACCTGCAATTTTAGGGAAGTTTTCCAACATTTTTTGGCTACAACAAATCATCCAAAATATTGGACCAATCGACCAATCCTTAGATGTTGTGGGGATCCCCCTGGGGTCCCAGGCGGCTGCGCCAACGCGCATGATCACGGCGTCCCCCACCGTGAGCGTCAGCCTACAGGCTAGTGAGGAAAGGACACCAATTTTGGTGATAAATATATATATATAATCACCGAAATGGGTAAGATTGATCATCTTTATGGAAAAGTTGGATAGATTTATCAATCACCAACTGGAAGTGCTATCCCATATATTAACATAATTGCAAATATATTAATAAATATATATAATTATATATATATGTGTGTGTGAATCAACCAGGGGTTCGTGAATCCAGGGGGTAAACATAACTGTGAATTGGAGAGTGACAGCAAATGACTGGAAATCATCTCCTTCAGCCGGTCCCGCCAAGAGAAAAGGTGTGGGCTGTGGTTGAAGAAAAAGTAGGATTGCTCAACAGAAAAGTAAATCATGCCCCCTTGTTACCAGAAATCGTACAAATCAGCCCCAATCAGGTCTGAAAATCGGGTATACGCTTCAAATTGTCATCTTTTTTGGGAAAGCTGAATGAAAATCATGAGAAACCATCAAATCTGGTGGTCAAAAGCCTGGTACCAGAATGGTACCCTAAGTCATAGCTGGTTAAAAAAACTGGCTCCTGCCCAGTCATATGGAGGTTTCCTAAAATTGGGGAAACTCCAAATCATTCATTCTAATAGGATTTTCCATGAAATAAACCATCCAGCTATTGAGGTATCCTCCATTTTAGGTAACTTCACCCATCCCTATGGGCTTTCGGCGTCTGCACCTGCGAAGCATGACGCCAATCGAGGTGGAGATCAACATCATGATCTGCGGCCCAAAATTTGCGAATTTCCACATCTGATGTGATTGACTGTCTATATCTACACATTATATGATTGCGTATATGTATGTGTATATATATATATATGTATATATATATATAATATGTATATTGTATATATATATATATACAATATATTCATATCATATATAATATGTACTGTATGTGCATGTATGTGCGCATACAATATTTTGAGGGCGACATGTGATTGTCAATGATGTCAATGTATTCATATGCATCCAATATTGCTAGGATTGGTAGGACCGCGAAGTCCACTCAACTGAGCTCCGGACCCAGAGCGCGCTCTGCGAAGCCAACAGCGCTAGCCTCCCATTTAAGGGCCAAGATGATCTGGGTTGCAAAAGCGCTGCCTATTTGATGCAATATGCAGTGATTTAGGGTTTGAGGGGTTTCAAGGTTTACGGTTTTAAGGTGTTTTAGATAGTTTCAGCCTTTTTGGGGTTAGGGGTTTAGGCTTTATAGGGTTTAATTTTTCGGAAGCTCCAAAATGTGTGGGCCTGCGCAGGAACTTGAGCATTTGGAAGGGACGGACAAACTCCAGGCATTTTCCGTATGATCTCATACACGTACAGAGCACTACTGAGCGAGCTTACACATGGGGGGCCCCTCTAAAACCATCAATTCCTGCAGCGCAGTGACCACCAACATTCACTCTCTCACTATCTATCTTGAAAATGCAAGAAATTGCTTCCTCCGCAAATTTCCTGAACCATCAATTGGGTATAGTTTGGAGTTCAGAACCTATGATAGGTCATGAACCCCATGAACCTTCATTCACTTTCATTTACCAGCTCTCTTGATGTCCAATACCTACCAAGATCTTGATCCATTGATCCATACCCCATCAGTCGCTGGAAAGTCACCTGCGACTCTTGCGCATCGCTAGGATCATTGTCAGGAAAAAGGTCCTGGCCAGGAGGCATGGACCAAAATTTCAATGGTTTGGGACCGCAGATTCTGTTGATTTAGTATTAACAGTTTATTAACATGTATTAACCATTCAATTTTAGTGGTACCCAATTTTGACCCAGCCCATACCCATTTTACCATACTTAACCTGCAGAAACCTTCAGGAATTCACAGTGTTCTTATGATCAACACGTGTATTACGGCAAATTCCAGGACCAGGACACCAAATTTTGGAGGTCAGTTCAAGGACTGTAATCCATTCTTGGGCCATTTTTTCACACGTTTCCCCATGTTCAAAAAAAAAAAGCAACTCTTGGGCAACACCTCCCGTGTTTGCCGATGATCTTTATCCTTATAGTTCTTGTGATTAAATAGAATCCACATTCATTTTTTGTGGATGAATCCTAAATTGTGAATGGTGAAATCTGGTCTCGCAGCTGAGCAGCTTGTCCCCCATCTCACTGACCAAAACTGTAGCCAAAGCCTGACGGCTGAAACTTCAGTCAGACCCTCGGGGCGAGCCACCCATGTGTTCAACCAAAAAAACACCGCAGGTAAAGGTTGGAAACTTATAGAAACATATGTGAAACCAGTCGAGTCAAGCTGTCCTAAAAATAGCAGGTTATATGCTCAACTTGTGCTTCACATCTGTGCCAAATGATGTCAAAGTTCTGCCATCCAGGGTTTTGAGCCACATCCAATGAACTAAGTGAGTCTGAAACCTTTCGAGGTCAAGTCTCTCGTTGCAATGCATTACATCATTACATAGCAGTTCTTCAAAAACCAAACATCATCCCAAATCAGGACTAAACTCAAAATCTTGGCCCGTGAAACTGGGGGCGTTGAAGCCGTTGAAGCCCAGTTCAATGGTCCCATTGGTATGGACCCATCCCATATCCACTTTGGACCTAGTTATAAGCCACTTAGTGTGTATATATAATATACTATATATATATATACATATATCACCATGACCTCACTGAAAGGCCTATTCAAGCCCCCATTGGGCAGCCATGGGATGATTCCCCTCCAATGCTCATCATTCCAGGCTGAGGGGTCACACCACGTCATATCGGTCATACGAAAATCGTTCGAAATATAGAATTTCGAAGTAACCATTAATGTTAGACCAATATGGACCTAGAATATATATATATATATATTATATATATAATATAATATAATATGTATATATATATATCAAGTAACCCATATAATTCAACCAAATGACATATATAGATACATATAGGAATATACGTCACCAATATATGGCTATCACCCAAGGCCTCGCCCGTGCCAGAGATCAGCGCCTGCCTAACGTGTTCGTTCGGCGACGAAAATCCCCCAACAAAAAAGGCGCAGTAAGATGGGAAAATCCGCGAAACATGGCGGTTTTTTGAGGTTTCAATGGGAAAATCATCCAACACCCACCGGCTCAACGGATTGATCAACCCGAAGTCGTTCCCAGCCCCCAGCCATCCCCAGCCCACCTTTTTGCCGGTGCTTCGCTGCTGCCCCGCGGGCGGCCCACAAACTGCCGAGCCCCAGCGCTCCGCGGTGCTGCGGAGGGCGAGGTGGGCGTGGTGGATGGCCGTCTCTCCCACTGAACGCCCAGGAAGGCACCGGTGAAAGCTCCTCCAGTGGCGGATTTCAATATGTTTTTTTGAGTTTTGGGTGGGGGTGGTTGAGTTAAGGGATGAGTTTTTGGTTGAGTGTTTGTGAATTTTGGTTGAGTTTTGGCTGAGTATTGGGTGAATTTTGAGGTCTTTGCGGGCAAGAATGGATGGAAATTGGGGCTGGAGGCTTAAAAATTGTGAGGTATGATAAATTATCATGATATACATAGGGACACGTGTTATATGACATGATATGAAGTGATATGAAGCAACAGAAGTTGGGTTCTGAACCTGCCAAAGAATGGGAAGGCACACCAAACTATTATATACATATGTACAACAAGGATATGCATCAGCTGACCCTAGAGATTTTGACGAAGTAACATTTAACTCGGACAGAAAGCAGAAACGTAGAAGGGCCAGTGACTGAGGGACCAAATCCACATTCTAGCAGGTCTGTTTACTTTGAGAGGTTTCTTCTACATTGTGGTGGGAGGCTGTCGCCGACAAGCCTAACTGGAAATCCAGCGAAGAATGGCTGGGTTTTTAGGGGATGTCCCATTCTTCTTTCATCCTCCACGATGAATTTGCTGAACATCTTGTCTATCTTTTGTTTTGTTCACTCCCATCAACAATACTTTAAAAAAATGCCAAGTATGCAAAATCACGCAAAATTCACGCAAAATTCACGCAAAGGAACCAAATTCACGCAAAATCCATAGAACTTATCCAAAAACATCCACAACAAATCCATGAAACGTAGGGACAACCCGCGTCTCCTGGCACGATCACCAGGCCTAAGAGGCCAAGGCGTATCAGCCGCCTAAGGTGAGGCAGTGTGGAAAGATGTGATATAAATAAATAGACAATGTGTATATATAATATAATATAATATAATATAATATAATATAGTATAGTATAGTATAGTATAACATAATATAATATAATATAATAATATAATAATATAATATGTAATATAATATAATATAATATAACATAATATAAGATGAGATAATATAAGATAATATAATATAGATATAATATAGATATGATATAATATAATATAATATAATGTAATATAATATAATATAATATAGTATAGTATAGTATAACATAATATAATATAATATAATAATATAATATAATATATAATATTATATAATATAATAATATAATATGTAATATAATATAATATAATATAACATAATATAAGATGAGATAATATAAGATAATATAATATAGATATAATATAGATATGATATAATATAATATAATGTAATGTAATATAATATAATATAATATAAGATGAGATAATATAAGATAATATAATATAGATATAATATAGATATGATATAATATAATATAATGTAATGTAATGTAATATAATATATATATATATTATTGTTATTCATCTACAGTCATCTATTATTTATTATTATTGCTCCTATTTGCGCAGATATCTATTGATTGTTACTACTATTAGAATTACATACCTTATTATACACTATACATATATATGTATACGATTAAAGTATAATTAACTTACAAATATAAATAGTAATTTAAAACATGTATATATATACTGGGAACCCAAGATGCAGTCTGTTTTGGATTATTAAGCCTCCAATTGATGGTTGAACGTCTTCAAAACGATGGTCATTTATGTTCCAGGCGTGAATATATATATATATACACACATAGACAATACATCTATGTAAACTATTGGAAACTTTTGTTATATCATATATATATATATATGTCATCTATGTCTAAGAATCGGATATATATATATATATATGTATTTATATATGTATTTATATATGTATTTATATATGTATTTATATATGATTATATGCATATATGCATATATACTTATATGTATACAGGCGTATACATTCTTGTATAATTACATATATATAATGTATGCATGTACCTCTGTTTTGAATGGTCAAGCCTCGCTTTGATGGGCCAAAACCATCCAGAATGAGTTCCATGTGGGTTCGCGTACAATATGGATGAAATGATGTAGCAAGAAAGTCTATAATGACACATGCGTATATGTATTTATATATAATATATTATCTATAATATACAATATAATATATAATATAATATAATGTAATATGGAATATAATACATAATATAATATATAATATAATATATAATATAATATATAATATAATATATCATATAATATATAATATAATATATAATATAATATATATATCATAATATAATAAATATATGCAATATAATATATATAACATATATTAAATATAGTATATAATATATATATATATTATTTATAACATATAATATATATATAATATATAATATACAATATATATATAATATTTATGATATATAATATTATATATATAATATAATATAATATATATGATATAATATATAATATAATATATATATATATTCATATTATTTAATATTAATGTATCTCTTGCTTGCAATATTATGTTAATGCATGTCTTTCTTAACAAATAATATGTGATATAGAAACACATGTATGATACCGATACTGTACATGAAATGATGCGGCGTCACTTGCCCACATCAATGGGAATTACCATATGCATGGAATAGCCAACATAACATAACATACCACCCTATCTACATCTATCTACTGTATATAATGTCCCCCAATTACCCTTCAGTAATCAAACATGTCCAGAACCCTCTTCTAACATAGCCAGGTCACCCTTCCTTCCCTGATTGGACAACAAATAAATGATGGTATGTGTCTATTTCAGACATCTTCACTACCACATCCTCATAGCCCTCTCATACCATATCATACCCTTACAGCTTTCCCACCTCCAAGTCTTTGATGCAAACGGCATGGCTTCTGCAATTGTGTGAACCATTTTTTTCCAAGAAAATCAGGCAGATCTTCCTATCAGTTGCGGATCTTGCCATCATCCAATTAAATGTGAAGTTGTGGCACAACTGACCTAAAGTGTCAATGGGCTGTGCTACAACTTCTTTGAGTCTTGAAGTCAGGCCACATGTCAGCTCCAGGAGTTTCCAGTAGGGGTAGATCGGACCAGCCGGATTGTCTTTTTCAATCTGCTTCAATCTCTGCTTCAATCTCCTGAACTATCTGAACCATTGATTTCTACTGATCCACAACATCTACAAACTGCCGGGACCCTGGGCCCATCATGAGAGTCCCTCTTGAAGAATCGGTCCTATCGCCTTCTACCACCAAATGGCTGCGGGTCACGAGGAAGTAACAGCTGTGCCAAAAACGAGATGCAAAAGTCAGGACCCAGATTTTTTATGCTAAACATCTTTCAACAGCATAAAATGGGAGATCACCAAAACCATAGGTGTCAATAATAGATGGTTTAGGGGTACCCTCCATTTCAGGACACCTCCACTTTCAACATCAAAGTTAAAACATTCCTCAACATCAGGCCCCATGTTCCAGCTATATGTTTTGTTTCAATATGACAACAAACATGTTTCATTATCATCAGCTCTCTTAGGCCCCCAGCCTGCAGCCGACACCTGCGCGACGTAGCCATCAGGCCTGCTGGGGGCAGCCTCCAAACTGCCGAAATCCACTGAATATCCATCGGTTTATATACCCTCTGGTAATTTAACATAGCTATGGAAAATCACCATTTTTAATGGGAAAACTCACTATAAATGGCCATTTTCCATAGCTATGTTAGTCATTACCATCAGTTTATATCTGTTTCCGGTTTCCCAAATCAAACATGGCGGGCCGCTGGAAAATCCCCGAGCCAGTCATGGAGGTCTCAATGAGAAATTCATCGAACCAAATGGGGGGATTTTCCAGCCATGTTTGACTACCGGAGGGTATCATTTTGGGGGACCCCATTTCCAAATACCGAGAAAAATTTGATATGTTGGCTATATATGGCTATATATGGCTATATATGGCTATATATGGCTATATATGGCTATATAGTATGTCAAAAATCTGGATGATTTAGGGGTCCCACATTCCAGGAAAATTCCAGCGGCAAGATCACGTGATATGCCCATCACATCCCCATATCCCCATAGTATGGTTGGTCTTGTAGGGTATGTCTTTCCCCATTGTCGCCCCATTTTCGTCCCATTTCCATTATTGTAGGGTATATCCCTATACTATATATATATATATTCCTCGTATATCCCTATTGTGTCCCTATTCTATCCCGATTATATCCATATTAATTACTTCCCAATGTCCCTCTATTATGCTCCTATTATTTTCCCTGTGTTTTCCCTTTATTCTATCCGGATATCCCCATTTCGTATGGCAAAAAATTTGGCTCTCTCTTTTCGTACGAACCCCGAACCTTGGGCGCAACTCCACTGTCTCCATCTCGCACCTGGAAGATGTGTCATGAATTTGGATGTTTTGATATATATATATATATATGTTGGATATATTTTGATGTATCTTGGATGTACAGTACCTGTGTTGGACATACTTTGGATCTATTTTGGATCGTCTTGGATATATATGTTGGATTCTTTGGATGTGTTACTGTTTGATGTTTGAATGATGTTTCAAGTCGGATGTGGGAGGATGTTTGATGTTGATTTGTTTCTCCCGAGAGCGATGATTTTTCTCGCCTGATTCCCCTGCATAGAACCGGCTTTGGCTCCCCACTTTTGTCTCTGAGTCTCGAAAAAAACAAAAAAAACTTGTTAGATCTTGTTAGTTTGGCATTGGGTCACTCATGGGTATTCAGCCAACCCCTAAAGCTGAACCTCCCAAACAAGAGTTTGTTTATTGAGGGGTTCTTAGTCACCAAAAACCACTCTTCGGGCTGGTTGAATCCAAGTCAAAGCCCCAGGAAATCCATCCTGAACTGGCTCAGGGTCGCCGGATGTCGCCGGTAGCTCTGGGTTTTCCCAACGGCAAGTTTCCAAGCTCTTGGTAGGAGCTCGGGAAGCGACCATTGGCCTCTCGATGATTTTTGGGGGACTTACCATTGGAAAAGTTAGTGAAACAGAGTTGCGCCCAACACCCCAGACACAAGCGCGGTAAGATGGGTAGAGAATTGTAGATAGAGAGGTAAAAGGACCAAATTTCCACTAGTGTGGCCATCATTCACCTACAGTGGATTGGAGCAACCCTGTGAAAACATGGGCAAATGACCTGCAATTGAGTCAACAATCAGCCAATATCATCGCTTTGGCCAGGAGTCCACTTTAACCTCAGCTTAAATCCATGATGAGTCGGGCCAAAGGCTCGAAGCCATGATCCTTCCATAGCTTGGACCCCAGTATCCCCAGTGGCGATGCCTCATGGAAAGCTCTGCAGGCATAATAGACGCCTCAGGAGATGGTAGAGATCCACGACGGTGAAATGGCGCAATACTACCAGCAACTACAAGGTCTACAGATATCAAAATGATCGCCCTAGTACTGCATGATTTATAGATGATCATAGTATGTTGTTTTTTTCCGCCCAGCTGACGTGAGGTCAGCTTGGAAAGTCCGCCAATACAGTAGCGATATATATATATATGTATAATATGTATATATATATATATGTATATGTATATTATATTGTATCATATATATATCATATGATATTAACTCATACTATATTATATCATAACATATCGTATTATATTATATTAATTAGATTACATCAGATCATATCATATTATATCATATCGTATTATATTATATTATATTATATTATATTATATTATATATATTATGTTATATTATATTATATTATTATATACATATATCATATCCTTGGTGACGTATATCAAGCTCAACAAAAATCATCAGGCTGCCCGGGTTCCCTCACATGCGCATGCGTGGCGCGCTGCAAAGGTAGGATCAACAAAGTCCTGGTGGGAACCACGCTGATAAAGAATGGAGCCAATAAGAAATGGTCATAATATGGATACATATTGATATACACATATTCTAACACATAATATAGAGATACATTGTATGTACAATCTTTATTTGCATTCTACACATGTTAAATTATAAGTGTTCTTACTATTATATAATTGTTATACTATTATATGTGAAACAATGATCCTGGAGTAGATAGAATATCCACTAGGGGATAACGTGGATACTGAGCCATGAAAATGAGGGGATTAACCAATGATCATCTGCTTGGCGGTTTCAACCCCCTTAAAAATAGTTGTCATTCAAGATCAGGTAGAACGATATATAAGTAAAGATTAAATACAAAATACAAAACGGATATACTTACGTACATATATGTAGAATCATGTAGATATAAGATGTATTAGACATTTGCATACAGAGATTGTGTTTAATTTTACATTTCAGCATCTATACAAAGCCAAGACTGGCTGGTGGCATCTCACCAATTCATCAACACTGATGGAGAATGCAACCAACTCTGCCGTGACTAAAGCATTGAGATTGACTATGGATCCAACAACAATGGGAATAAACACGGAACATGGCTATGAAAGCACCAACCGTGATCCGTGGGAGTAATATAGTGAACCCAAAACATCTGCAAACAATTCATATTAACCAGTGACAAAGATCTGCCATATAATTGGCTGCAGAAACAGAAAGCCAACTTGAAAGCATGCCGAAACGAGTGGGTTCATTGCTCAGTCCTGTGCATCGCTGCCATCTAAGAGTTGTCCTGCCTGCATGCAGAGTACGATGTTGTAACGTTTGCAGCAGCAAACTGCCGGATGCAATGTCTGCTCTGCAAATCTCAGGCGCTGGATAATGTCCATCTTGAAACGAAAAATCACATGAACAATTAGAAGAATCGATAATGGTCCTGTGCCATCGTGCAATATCGCAGGCTATAGCGAAATCATGGCTTTGGAGGGCAATAAAGTCTGGCACTGCACCAAAGAGAGCTGATCCAAGCCACGATCTCAGCATGAACGTTGATCAAAACTCAACACCCTAACTTTGGGCAGGTAAATAAGGTTTGTCTGAAATTAAATTAGAGTACAAAAAATCTGAAAGTTTATATTCACAAAAATGTGTCCGATGTTTCCCAAAGTTAGAATGGTTACGGTATTTCTTTTGGTGTATGCCCCATTTTCAGACAAAGAGCGAACTCATTTCAATGGCCACACATTTCACCTGTTGGTCTTTGGTAATAAGAAACACCTCAATACACAATCCCCCTGTTTACTACTGTAATGGTGAACTCATGAAAAGCCATCTATAAACAAATGTTCAATGGCCATCAACGCAAATAATTCATCCATAAAAGGATATCATTCATCTAAAAACGTGTATAAGTCATCTATAAACCGATATGATTCATCATATTCATCTAGAAACATTTATATCATTCATCTACAAACCCATCTGATTCATCCATCAATCGAAAAACCAGGCGCCTCATTGGCGAAAATCAGGTGTCCCCAGGCGTCGGGCAGGTGCATGTTCACCTGCCCCACCTGCGAGAGCCCAAAACCATTTTTACCACCGGCTGGCCTGGGGTGCCCAATTGTTCAGACATAACCACATTAAAAAAAACAGAAACGGCAGTCTTGGACAGTAACATTCACTTTGCATCCCACTTGTCCGGTTCTATCATCAATTCCAGGGGTATGGGTTGGCCTCATGCCGATTTTCACTGGCCACAGCAATCCCAAGCTATACCAGTTGACCAACCTCTGCTGTCTGTGTCCGTCATGGGGGCTCTCCAAATGGCTGGGATGGTCTGAGTCAAAAGTCCGGGCTCTTTGGACCATGATCATTTTAGGGGTCCTCCCATCGTGACACATACAAGAAAAAATACCAACGGGTGGCTGATACCACCTTATGCCAACTACTGCCATGGACTCATTGCATTCGTTGCGGCTCAATCCTCCTGCGGCCATTGGTTTCCATCCTGGAAAATAAATAGTGCAGGGAACTCGCACCTAAGTGACCGGGAACCGAACATAGTGTGGTATTTCAATGGAAAAAAACAACAAAATATATTTATGTGGTAAACCCAATAAACATCAATAACCCATTTCCAAAATCAGTCAAAATCATCATAAATGGACGGTAGAAACCATCCCAAAATGGTAGTTGTTTATGGCAGGGTTTCTAAAACCATTCGTCGACCACCATCACCGCGCTGGGCCACCCAACATATCGGCCGTCACCAGGTGACCAAACGACTTGTGGAGACCAAACCCAATTCACCTGGCCCTGCTTCTCCTCCGACTGCGGCATCCAAATGGGGAATCCACTGACCCTTCACCAGGGATTTTCTTCAGATGGTCTATGTGGTATTTATATCGTATTAAAGGTGCGCATAGATAGATAGATAGATAGATAGATAGATAGATAGATAGATAGATAGATAGATAGATAGATAGATAGATAGATAGATAGATAGATAGATAGATAGATAGATAGATAGGATAAGATAGGATAAGATAGGATAAGATAGGATAAGATAGGATAAGATAGGATAAGATAGGATAGGATAAGATAAGATAGGATAGGATAAGATAAGATAGGATAAGATAAGATAGGATAAGATAGGATAAGATAGGATAAGATAGGATAAGATAGGATAAGATAGGATAAGATAGGATAAGATAGGATAGGATAAGATAAGATAGGATAGATAGATAGATAGAGAGGTAGATAGATAGATAGATAGATAGATAGATAGATAGATAATTAGATAGATTAGATAGATTAGATAGATTTAGATAGATTAGATAGATTAGATAGATTAGATAGATTAGATAGATTAGATTAGATAGATTTTGATAGATTTGATAGATTTGATAGATTTGATAGATTTGATAGATTAGATAGATTAGATAGATTAGATAGATAGATAGATAGATAGATAGATAGATAGATAGAGATAAGATAAGATAAGATAAGATAGATTAGATAAGATAATTAGATTAGATAGATAGATAGATAGATAGGTTAGATTAGATTAGGTTAGATTAGATTAGATTAGACTAGATAGATAGATAGATAGATTAATTAATTAGGATAGGTAGATTAGGATAGGTAGATTAGGATAGGTAGCTTAGATAGATTAGATAGATTAGATAGATTAGATAGATTTGATAGATTAGATAGATTAGAATAGATTAGATAGATTTGATAGATTAGATAGATTAGAATAGATAGATTAGAATAGATAGATTAGAAGAGATAGATTAGATAGATTAGGATAGATAGATTAGAATAGATAGATTAGAATAGATTGATTAGAATAGATAGATTAGAATAGATAGATTAGAATAGATAGATTAGATAGATTAGGATAGATAGATTAGAATAGATAGATTAGAATAGATAGATTAGAATAGATAGATTAGAATAGATAGATTAGGATAGATAGATTAGGATAGATAGATTAGAATAGATAGATTAGAATAGATAGATTAGAATAGATAGATTAGAATAGATAGATTAGAATAGATAGATTAGGATAGATAGATTAGAATAGATTAGAATAGATAGATAGGTAGATAGATAGATAGATGGATACATGGATAGATGGATAGATGGATAGATGGATAGATGGATAGATGAATAGGTGGATACATGGATACATGGATAGATGGATAGATGGATAGATGGGTAGATGGGTAGATAGATAGATAGATAGATAAATAGATAGATAGATAGATAGGTAGGTAGGTAGATAGATAGATATATAGATGGATGGATGGATAGATAGATGGATAGATGAATAGGTGGATACATGGATACATGGATAGATGGATAGATGGATAGATGGGTAGATGGGTAGATAGATAGATAGATAGATAAATAGATAGATAGATAGATAGATAGGTAGGTAGGTAGATAGATAGATATATAGATGGATGGATGGATAGATAGATGGATAGATGGATAGATGGATAGATAGATAGATAGATTAGATAATTGAAAACATTTCTATAAGAGCACAATCAAAAATACTTTTGACATATTTTTAAAAAGGAATCAACAGTAATTAATTAAATTGATAATATTAGAATCTGACATTATGATGTCTCCTACCCATACGCATTATTGCATTGATGTCACCATCCCAATCGTTTTGTGTAAATACTTAATTCAAAATAATAATAATCATCATATTAGACATAATCATGAAAATCGAATAATGCTTAAAACAATAACCACTATAACAGTAACGATAATAATGGCAAAACGATAATATGAATATGAATATGTATATAGTGTGCGTATATATATACATTATTATACATCATCAAAGGAAGTTGGGAAGCAATCTTCCGAGTTACGGATGACTTTTACCTGAAGAAGGGTGGTGTGAGACTTTACATCTGATTACTTTTACCTGATGAAGGGTGGTGTGAGACTTTATATCTGATGACTTTTACCTGATGAAGGGTGGTGTGAGACTTGAAATCTGATGACTTTTACCTGATGAAGGGTGGTGTGAGACTTTACATCTGATGACTTTTACCTGATGAAGGGCGGTGTGAGACTTTACATCTGATGACTTTTACCTGATGAAGGGCAGTGTGCGACTTTACATCCTGCACGGACCTAGGGAAGTGGTCACCTAGGGAAGTGATGACGAAGGGAAGTGGAGACCTGGGAAGCTGACTGCATGATTACTGTCATGTTTTGTTGCCATGTTCTGCAACGCGGGGATGCGAATGGCATTGTAAGGGCTGCATGGATGTGTACGTGGCGCTGCAACACGCATTGTAATGGCTGCATTCATGTTGCATGGGGTGTGTTTTGGGGAGGAAGCCGGAGCACGAAACCTTGTGTTTTTCCGTGCAAAGTGGCTGCAGGCAGCGATGAAGGGTACCTCCTGTGTGCCGCGGTTATGGTTTGGATCGTTTCAACGCGTAATCAGTTCTCCCTTGGTGTTCTGCAACGCGGGGATGCGAATCGCATTGTAATGGCTGCATGAATGTGTGCGTGGTGCTGTAAAACGCAGGTCCTGTTCTTGGACAGCAGCGCAACGGTTTGGAAAAAAAAACGCAGGCACGGGCCTCGCTCGAGCACGGCGCATGCAAGTTCTATAGATGAGAAAGGTCTTATAGTATAACCCTAAGGCAACTTCCGCCCCACCTCGTGCGGGTACTACTGGTATATATAATTATATATATATAATTATATATGTAATATTATCCGAATAGCATTATATATATATAATAACATATATGATGTTAATGATCAAATAATATATGTTATCATATATGATCTCTCAATTTTTCATATGTATAATATAAATATATATATATATAAATAGTGTATGTATATATATATATATAGTTTCTCCCAAATCCAACCCCCAAGCTCCACTCGGCTGAAGTTGATCCGCCAGCAGTGTCCCACGAAGGGTTCGGCCGCTTTCACCGGCGCATCGCCCAGGCTTTCGCTGTGCCTGGAGATGGCCAACGACCCAAAGAAAGGCCTTTAAGGTGGGGGTGGTCCCCACAAGACGTAGGGGCATATAGTTTGACATAAGTTTGACATAATGACATAAGCCACTAAGCCATATTATACTAAAATATATATATATATTAAATATGGGGCCACATATATCAAATATAGGGGAAGATTCCTGGTTACTCTAATGAAATCAGAATTCTGTCAACAACATCAAATATAATCAAATGGTTTGTGAGGTCGTGATAATTCCGCCAGACAAAAAGATGTAGGTGTACGTAACAGTATGAGCTACATCCACTGGTTAATTGTTCCCTCTTAAGAAAGTAACATGACATTGAATATTTGGCAGGTACAGTATACCGTATACCCCATTTTCAAACAGACCTGTGTGGTGGGTTTCCGAAAATTAAGGGCCACCGAAGTCCCAAAGTATGGTCATCGCAGCACCAGGGGTATCCGAGTTGGCACATGCGTCTCTTGAGATGCAAGGTCCATGGACGTCAATGGTATAAAGTCACAACATAATTGGTAGTTGAGCAACCTCCTGAACAACCCGGGCAACTAACTAGTCAATTTTGAATATCATATCAAAGAAGGAGAATGTTGTCTAGGTGCGGGTCTTGCACTCCACCCCTTTGCTATGAAGGTTCCTTTCGAACAAATCATGATGAATAATAACAGCTTCAATTCTGCTGATACATGGCAGTGTGTCAAAACCTTGTACCCCTGGTGAACATCAAAATAGCTGGTAAATGGATGTTCATCCCCGTAAAAATGGTATTAATAGGTTTTGATCCATACCCACATAAAGGTTTGTCTGAAAATGGGTGTCCCAACATCTGATGGTCCATCATCAAATCCTCATCAAATCCCGGCCATGCACTGCGGGCCGCTTAAAAATGGCATAGGGAGCCGAGAAACGCCAAAGCAATTTCAACGCACCATTGCGACGGAGAGGTTGGGTTGCCAATCTGGCCTTGCAAGAGGGATATAACCCTTCTCAATGGGGGGATGACCACAGCACAGTGACCATGGTACATATGGCCAATATTCGCTAATATGCGCCAATTATGTGATTTGTGTGATGTTTTTTTTTCATTTTGATTCCGGGTTCTGAACACCGTTTTCCCATGTTTTCCCACACTTGTAAATTCCGTTTGATTGAGGTGATGGCCCAGTTGTAAGCGGCAATGGGCCCAATGTGCTGGTAGGTTTGATGCATGGAGGTACAGCAGTGCGGATCAACTGAAGAAAGTTGTCCAACTGCACTGTATCCAATGCTGCCAACATCCAGCTTTGCAATGAAGTCAAGTATATAACCATGGCCGTGTGTTCATTATCCAGGGATATCCAGGGAGCTTTTGGCACTAGGACTCTAGGATCTAGAATCATCTACTCAACCTCAGGCAGTACCCTATTGAATCTTATTGAATCTTATTGGATTTTAGGAATGACATCCCCTGCCCACTGACCCTCTGCAGTGCCTTTCGTAACTTTCACCGCGGTTTGTTGTTTCCGCACGTCCCAGTAAGACTTCTCGCCTACTGGCGTCCATGGTCTCTTTGGGCATGGGCTTCTCATTCATTTGGAGGTTTCCATCAATGGGGGGTACCCCAATAGCTGAATGGTTTGTAGGATGATTTGGGGTACCCCCCATTTTAGCAAACCTCCAGTTCAGAAGCTGAAGATGTCAAGAAGTTTGGGAAAAGGGGGGGCGAATCCCAGCATGACACTTTTAGGTTGGGCGAACAAGTGCAAGTAGGTCATCAATAGAATTCAATAGACGTCCACAAGCTTAGTGGCACCTGGAAAATCAGACTTTCCAGGAAGCGAGCATCTCCCTACAACATTTGCGCAATCCGAAAATTGGATGGCGCTATTGGTTATTGTCCACCAGCAAAAACATCCCGGTGGGGGGGATATTCGTGCTCACGAAATGAGCGCTTTGTTTAAAAAGTCACCATTTCACCACAGCACCAACTATTTTTGTCAATGACTTGATTTTGGGATTCCATTTTCGGGTGTTTTTTTGGGTGTCGCCTGTGAATTCACAGGTATTTTGCCAAATTTTTTATGATGGATAAAAATTGACACCTTCGTCTGCCAACTTCTTTTTGCCTCTCAGATGTTGCATGGAAGTGTTCAGAGCTTCGCATCAAGAGCGTGTTAGATTTTACATGAAAGTCTTCACAGCGTAGAATCAAGAGAGTGTCAGATGTTGCGCAAGCTCATAGAACGTTATTAGCCCCACCCCATCTCGCCATGCCCCGTGCGCGGACCTTAGAGATATCAAAAAACAAAAACGCTAGCGCGGTTTTCCCTCAGCTGGCAAAACATGAAGTCATTCAAGATTTCATCACAGTGGGATGTGGTTTTTCATGTTTTTTAATTTACAAAAAATGCACGTTCACATCAATCAGGAGGGTTGGGAACAACACTGAACAAGACTAGGAAGATGTTACCAACTGGCTTCATCATGGTTCATCAGCAATTTTATACACCAAAAATACTGATTGTTGGATCTTGTTGGTTTCAACCCAGAGAAGTAGTGATTTTTCGAGATCATCATAATACCAAGTAAGGTTGATTCAAACAAGAAATGGTTTTAAGGCACCCGCAATTCCAATTTAATTTCCAAAAAAGAGTTGGTTATATAAATATATATATATAATATCACAATTATATATATAATGTAATATGTACATATATGGTTGATTGGCGTTATATCATGTGTATATATATCATGTGTATATATATCCGGAGTTCTGATGGTTTTAATCAGTTTCAATCATTTTAAAATCCCAAAAAAGGTGGATGAAATGCCAACTTTGGATCACTTCGGAAAGGGCATCCCTTCCAAAGCCATCACCGTTCCAGGACGGACCTTCTTTGGCCACGCGGCCACTGACTTCGCCGCCACCATCCATGTAGGGACGAGTCAGCAACAAATTCCAGACCTCAAAAGATCCATAAAATGACGAGTTTCCCCAGCAAAAATGGTGCAAAATATGGATGGACCCATATTTTGACCCAAGAAAGATGAAAAACTCTTTGAACCGATCATGGAAGTGGAATCCCCATAAATATCCCATGTCCAACGGGGAAAAAAAACACTTGAAAGGGGCAAGGTTCCAATGGTTGGCCGAAGAGCTAGCAGTGAAAACCACAAAGAAGACTCACCTTTCTGAACCTTTCTGCGTCTAGATTCAACATGATTCAACTAGCTTTCCTCTGGTAATCTACTAACCCTGGCAACTGGAAAATCCCCAATGTTTCATGGGAAGGCCTCGATACTTACATAGATACTTTTCTCGGGACATGTTTGCTAAACTGCTAAACATCAAATCTGCGGACCTGCGGACATCAAACCTCTGCGCCGCTTGTCTCATCCTCTCAGCCTCTGTGATTTCACAAATTTGGCGCCACATGGCAACGGGTCAATTAACCCGCCACATGGTTCATTCGTGAAGCGAATGTCTTTCAAATAAACCAAACTGGGTGATCACCAGGTCCTACCATATGATTGGATCAATCGCGATGGTGAACATAATTGATGTGGAGATTCTGATGGATTGCTTACTCAACAGCTCCCACATATCATATTTCTTTTTGGGAAGAGAAAGAAAATTGCACAACGTAGGGCGACGTTCGTGAAACCCTACCAATAAATGGGCTCAACGACTACAGTACCTAGCTACCTCCACTGCATTTCCGAACCGTCTGGTGATCCATGCCCATGGTGACCCATGGTGGCATCAACGGTGCCAGATCAGAGGCCCCCAACGATGACTCAAACGACCGGGTCGCCGTTTCAACGGCCGGCCATCTTCACAGCACCGTCCCGGAACCGGTGCAGACTTGGATGGCACTGTTTTTGATCAAGAATAGTTCTGTGTGTATGTGTGTGTGCATCTATATGATTATTATTGTTGTTATTATTACCATTTTTTGTTGTTATTGTTATTGTTATTGTTATTGTTATTGTAGTAGTAGTAGTAGTAGTCGTAGTAGTAGTAGTAGCAGTAGTAGTTGTTGTTGTTGTTGTAGTTGTTGTAGTTGTTGTAGTTGTAGTTGTAGTTGTAGTTGCTGTTGCTGTTGCTGTTGCTGTTTCTGTTGTTGTTGGTGGTGTTGTTGTTGTTGCTGTTGTTGTTGTTGTTGTTTTTAATTATGTGTTTGTTTTTGTTTGGGGTTTTGTTTTTGTTTGGGGTTTTGTTTTTTGTTGTTTTTGTTATTGTTGTTGTTGTTATTATTATTACTATTATTATTATATATTATTATCAGTTATCATTATTATATATTATTATCAGTTATTATTATATACTGTGTGCATTATGTATAACCATTGTTCATATCATGTTGCATATATATATATATATATTTATTTATATATACATCGTATTTATAAATCAAGTTGCCCAGCCCATCCAAATCTGACCTTTGGCACGCAATGCAGTCACATCCACTTTGCCCACAGCATGGCCAAAAATCTACAACTTTTTTTGGTGTGGGAATCACAGCGTTCCAAAACCGATAAGGTGAGTTGCTGCAGAGGAAAACACTCATAGATACTCATAGCCGGATATTCAATTCATGTTCTGATACCTTCAACCAGCAGTGCCAACAGGTTACATTGTTACATCGTTTTACCACATGTTACAACATGTTGCAACACACACCGACAGCTTTAGTGGACCAGGGCAGGTAAGGTCTGAGCCAACAACAGCAGGGCCAAGGCCATGGGCATCATCTGCTTCTCGGTCCTTGGTGCTTGAGCCCGGTGGCTAAAGGTTGTTCATTGGGGATCATCATCCCGTTTTTATGCGTGAAAGAACCAGTTGAAACCACTAACCAGTAGCAAAACCACGTAAAAACATCATAATCCTATTATTCTAAGCAGCAGCTTTTTCAGGGTGAACTGAGATTGTAAGAAATGATTTCTTGGTAGAAGTGCGCTGCTACAATTTCAGTAGTGAACTGGCTGATCGTTCAACTCTTAGGGATAGGAAGATCCAAAAACCAGTGGGGTTGATTGGCAAAAGATGGCAAAAGCCAATCAACCAACAGCCAATCTAAATGTTGGTTGTTGGGTTGATTCAACAAGTATTCAAAACCAACATTTATACTTGTTGAATCTTGTTGACAGGATTTGATAGGCATTCCGATCGTATAATATCGTATAATCATCTCCAATAAGCCAGTACAAGCCAGGTAGTGAAACCCTCTATAACTATGCATTCATCGGGACATATGTTGTGCCAAGGTGTGTGGAGTCACCGGCCCCAACCATGGGAGGTACCCCAATAGCCGGATGGTTTATTTCATGGAAAATCCCATCTATAAATGGATGATTTGGCGGTACCCCCATTTTAGGAAACCCACATCTGAAACTCATTGATCTCATGAAACTTGCGAAACTTTCAACTCACTGAAGTGGGGGCAGCTCAGGGGAAGAAAATCCGAGGAAGTTCAGGAGAAAAAAATCCGACCGCGCAGTGTACAAGTTCGCGGGGCCCAAGGCTCTTAGCCATGTGCTGCTGGATGGGCTCAATCAGCTCCTTGTACCAACTTATATAATGGGATATTGGGTGTTATTGGGGATGTGATGACAACAACCAGCCTATGATGATATAGTGATACTGTGATACTGGGATTCTATGTATGTATGTATGTATGTATGTATGTATGTATGTATGTATGTATGTATGTATGTATGTATATATAATATGCATATGATGGGCATATATAGGGGGATAGGGATATAATACGTATGATATAATGGAGTATAGAACCTTCTATCTTCACATGGGTGTGTTTGGGTGCACCCTAAACACCCGTGGTTTAGAACCTCATTTTATCACAAGATATCCTAAGAATCAAGACAATTATCAGTGCTCACACCATGTTTGGACTATCCCATACTATGGCCAGTGCCCCACATGTAAGCAGGGTTAAAAAAACGTTCTGTATGTGCAGGGACCTGTATATCTACGCACCATCCAGCAAACATACTCCCATGATCTCTCATGTCATCGGGAAACGGAAGTGTTCTGCATTCAGCGTTTATTTCTGAACAGTGTCCACCCTCATCTGCAATCCCTACGGCCTACAAGAACCTCTTAGATCAACTCCAAACTGCTCAGTATACACTGGATATATTCTAGATTCTATATGTTTGTATGCGTATATACTGTATATATCGTATTGTATATGTACATATAATGACACATATAGAATGATCCGGGAAATCACGGCCTGTTGGTATCTTCAACCCATCCCCACCATAGCCCAGGGGTTAAAAAAATCACAACCCCTTGGAGCGGCAATTACCACGAATCTCCTGCGGCATGGCGCGCCATCCGCGACCATCAGGATTCCAGCTAGGCTCTGGGCCCTTGCATTTGCCTCATTGTCCTCACGTATGGAGAGTCCAATGATTTCACTGCTTCAACTTCAGAGAAGACTATGTTAACTTCCTTCAATCACGATTCCATCAAGATTGGAGGGAGAAAATGAGTGAAACATAGTGAAACCAATGGTCTAGAAAAATCACTTAAACTCGTCTCAAGAACTTAGGACAAAAAGGGCTCGTCGATGCAACAATTGGGTAACTGTCTCTTTCAGAGGGTACCCCGGTACCAAATCCATCCAAATCCCGTAGTTTGGAAACCTCGCTTTCCGTATCAAAATATACAGCATTAACTGGGGGGTGAATCCCCCCATTTTCAGCACATGAACAGCTGGCAAAACCTCCGGAAAAAATCAGGTGAAATGGGACTCCTTCCCGCCTCTGGAAAGGAGAACATGTTTTTTGGATGAATCTGAATGATGGCTGAAAATTCACGAAGAAACTGGATCACATAATCTCAACCCAAGATTCATAAACCCTAGGCTGTTGATCCTTGGTGGGATCCCATTTTAGTTGCAAATGAAATCACTTTTTGGAGATTATCCCCTTCAACAATCTTAAACATGGCAAAACTGTGGGTGGATGATGCTCCCTTTGGGATCCCATGAACCAAGCCATCTTCGAGAAAGCCAGGCGTCCGTAGTAGCCGGTGGTCAGCCAAATGGAGCTGCAGAAAGCCAGGAAGAAAGATCCAAACCAATTCAGAAGCAAAGAACTGGGTGAGAAACTGAACGCCCCATAGAAGTCCAGAAGTCCTGGGGGAAGTTTCTTTGATGTTGCAGGATGGCAGATGTTTTGGGTTCTATCATGTTCTATCCACATTGTGTACCCTTTATCGTTGGCATAATTCCTGTTATTCACCAGTACTAGATACCATTGGCATTCTTGACCCTTCTCTTGCGCAAAAATATCAGGGTGAATTTTGGTGGACTTGATTTTTTGTCTTTGGCTTCGAAGGTGACCAAACATGTGCAGCAATTGCCACCCGCTTCGTGGATCAGTGACTCCCCACCCAGCAACCACCAGGTCTTTGGGGTCTTTGATCTGCCACCATCCACACCCCGGCAAGGGCTGCAAGTTCACCAAGTTTCCCTTGGAGATGCGCACCATGCGATTTCCCAGCGAAGTGGAGACCTGCGTCCTCTTGGCCGCCTGGATCTTGCTGCTCTCCTCCACGCGCGCGTGCGCTTTGCTGGCCGTCATGAAGGCCAGGGTGAACATCAAGGCTGCGCCAGCATAGCCCAGTCCAGGCTTCTCGGACACAGCGGGTTTGAGCAATGAGACATGGACTTCACTCTGAGAGCTGCTCAGTCTTGAGAACATACTCTGCCATGAACGTATGCAGTAGCTTTTCCCGTGGGATTGGCAAAGACATGCAAAGGCCAAGTTGAACTAACATATAGATCATGTGAATTATGATCGATTCAAAATGGGATGAAAGGATATCACAGGACTGTTCGTGTCCCAAAACATGGAAGAGTTCATAGTGTTTCTTGCATCAGCTGATCATCAGCGAATCTAGTCATGCTGTGACAAGACACGGACTTGAAGGATGTCAGGAGCAATGGCAGGTTCAACACCTGAAGAAAGAGAATGCCCGCTGCTCGCTCGCTGAGCTCGCTCATGGCAGTCTGGAAGATCTGAGAAGATTTGGAATATCTTCCGAGGAGCATGTCACTTTGGATGAGACCTTGTGGGTCACCTATCACTTGATATATCAAGTGGTCTCTCTTGAGATTCTCTTGATCAAAAACTATGTTGTAAGATGTTGTTGGCCAGTTCGTGAACAAACCATCACCAACTGATACTAATTCACTCCTCCAGATCAAATGGTCTTAAAGGTGTTTCCCTGATTCCTTCAAGTTGCTGAGAATCTGAGCCAAGCATAGAATTGAACACAGCAAGCCGTCTCCCCTGGATTCCTCTGAAACTGACCAGACCCTGATGGACCTCTTGTTGGAACCACGTACTCGAAAAGATATTGATCAACTATGGGACCGTCATCCGAAGAAAGGAGTAAACATCGAGAACTGGTTGGCTTTGCCTGAAAATCGGATATGCCGTATTTCGATATATTTCAATATAATTGATTCATCATAATTTTCCCATGACAATGGAGAAAAGCTATTTGGACGGCATCTCGCATATTCAAACAACGCCAATTTGGAATCACCACTTTTGGACCTTTGGAATCTATTGGTTATCATCCTTGAAGACAACACTGAGAATCTGGCAGTGTTCAGAGCATTGATCTCCAACTCCTCAAAGACTTCCCATGAAATCTGATCGAACCTGGAAAATAGGAACATCATGGAACCTTCTTTCCATCTATTTCCAGATCACTGTAAATGTCCTTCCCACAAGAAAAGGAGATTCTCCGTTGCTAAGTTGGATTACGAGAGGTACCGGATTTTCTGGGATATCTACATGTAAGCGTCAACTAAGAAATGAAAACTTGTTGAGTTGCAACTTTCATCAACTTTCCATAATGCCAAAGTGTCATCGAAACATGTTCAAACAACTTCCGTCCGTCACATCCTGTCCTGGACCTTTCCGAAGGTCCAGGTTTCTGCGGTCCTTGTAGCCATGGCAACAGCCAGCAGGGTCCAAAAAGACTTCGAAGTCCGAATCTGTGTGGAAGATGGGCGAATTCCTCTCCTGGCACTGCAATGATTGCAACATACTTGATACTCTACCGGGATGCTTAAACTTAAACCTGGGATTTGTGGATTACAGTATATATATTTTTTTATTATTTATTATTTATACATATAATGGGTGAACAATAGTTTTAGGAGTTTGTTTGACAAGGTTTGGGACTTGTTCTGGATTTCTTTCTTAGCACCATTTGCCTTGTATTTGCAACAGTTTGGAACTAGAATCTGTCATTTTGCATGGTATTTAATATTTGCTACATTTTGGCATGTTCACCTTCCATTTTGCACGGTCCTTGCAATATTTTGGCATGTTCACCTTCCAATTTTGCACGGTATTTGCTATATTGGCACTTTAACCTCTCATTCTGCATTTGCTACATGTTGGTACTTCAAGCGTTCATGTGGGTTTCTTTAGGGTGTCATTTAGGGTATCTCTAGGGTTTCTTTAGTGTTTTATTTAGGGCTTCTCTAGGGTTTCATTTAGGGTTTCTTTGGGGGTTCATTTGGGGTTTCATTTAGGGTGTCTTTAAGGTTTTATTCAGGGTATCTTTAGGGTTCATTTGGGGTTTCTATAGGGTGTCATTTAGTGTATCTTTAGGGTTTCTTCAGGGTTTCATTTGGGGGTTCTTTAGGGTGTCTTTAGGGTTTGATTTAGGGTTTGATTTAGGGTTTCACTTAGGGTTTCATTTAGGGCTTTCTTTCGGGTTTGATTTAAGGTTTCATTTAGGGCTTCTGTAGGGAGTCATTTAGAATATCTTTAGGTTTCATTTAGGGGGCTTAATTGGGGTGTCATTTAGAATATCTTTAGGGTTTCATTTAGTGTTTCTGTAGGGTTCCTTTGGGGTTTGTTTAGGGTGTCATTCAGGGCTTTTGTAGGCTGTCCATTAGGGTATCCTTAGGGTTTCATTTAAGGCTTCTTTAGGGCGTATTTAGGGTATCTTTAGGGTTTCACTTAGATTTTCTTCAGGGTTTAGGGTTTTATTAAGGATACAAACAGAGGAGAATAAAGTAAAGGAAAAAGAAAAGCAAAGAGACAGTAAAGAAAGGAAGCAGAGAAGCAGAGGAGCAGGAAGAAGTAGAGCAGCAAACACGCATGACTGCAGAAAAAGAAAAAGTAGATGTAGAAAGGCACAGAAACAGAAAAACCTAAATGCAGAGAAGCAGGAAAAGCAAAAGCGGAAAAACAGAAAAAAGAGAGAAGCAAGAAAAGCAGAGAAGCAGCAAAGCAGGAAAAGTACAAAAAAAACAGAAAAGCAGGAAAAGCAAAAAAGCGGAGAAGAAAAGCAGAGAAGCAGGGAAAGCAAAAAAGCGGAAAAGCAAAAAAGCAGAAGCAGGAACAGTAGAAACGCAATAATCCCAAAAAACTTGAACCTTATTTTAAAAAATCCTAAAATAAAGAGCCCTCCATAAATAATTAGCAGATGATCACAAAATGATCACGCCACAAAGTGCGAGATGACAATACAAAGGGTTACACCTGCTCAAAGAAAACATGTCAGAGGTTTATGAATCGGAGGTTTGTAATACCCCATCAACTAATTCAGCAAGCTCACACCTTGATTTTCAGTTGTGGGATGTTGTGGGGTCATGTGGACCAAATGGCACCCTCCGGGAATGGTTGTCAATCCACAAGGCTTCTGGCAAGTGACCCTACCCAAGTCAAGTGCTATCATGCCTTCCCTGCTCCTTGAACTTGGCTACGAGTTCGTTTCCAGCATCCACATCCATCATTGCAGCTATGTACAAATACCTCAGGTCACAGTCCAGTGTACACAGTGTTCAGGGCTTTGCAGAAAGGAACACCATGGTTTTGAATGGTTTTGAAGTAAGCTTTGCAAAGCCAGTACTCAAGTTCTGTGAGTGCCGAGCATGTGCTTGGGAATATAGATACCCTAATCGCTGCGACAGCTCCCTCCATTCACCACTGGATGGCTGGATTCCTAACACACCCAACTTGCATCCCTATATTGTGTATATATATATATATGTACGATGGACCTTTATGTACTATTTGAACGTTTGCATGTCGAAAGGATTTTATTGAAATTATACCTCTTTCTGGAGAATCCCTACTAGTTAATCTATATACCAAAAAGAAAGAAATGGAATTCAAAAAATTCAAAAAATTCAAAAAAAAATGAATACATATTTTTTTTGAATTTTTTGAATTTTTTGAATTCCATTTCTTTCTTTTTGGGACTTTCATTTTTTTTTGAATTTTTTTTGAATTTTTTGAATTTTTTGAATTCAAAAAATCAAAAAAAAAGTGAATACATATTTTTTTTTGAATTTTTTGAATTTTTTGAATTCAAAAAATTCAAAAAATTCAAAAAAAAAATGAATGCATAATTTTTTTTGAATTTTTTGAATTCAAAAAATTCAAAAAATTCAAAAAAAAAGTGAATACATAATTTTTTTTGAATTTTTTGAATTTTTTGAATTCAAAAAATTCAAAAAATTCAAAAAAAAAAGTGAATACATAATTTTTTTTGAATTTTTTGATTTTTTTGAATTCAAAAAATTCAAAAAAATCAAAAAAAAAGTGAATACATATTTTTTTTTGAATTTTTTGAATTTTTTGAATTCAAAAAATTCAAAAAAATCAAAAAAAAAATGAATACATAATTTTTTTTTGAATTTTTTGAATTTTTTGAATTCAAAAAATTCAACAAATTCAAAAAAAAAAGTGAATACATATTTTTTTTTTAATTTTTTGAATTTTTTGAATTCAAAAAATTCAAAAAATTCAAAAAATTCAAAAAATTCAAAAAAAAAATGAATACATAATTATTTTTGAATTTTTTGAATTTTTTGAATTCAAAAAATTAAAAAAAAAGTGAATACATAATTTTTTTTGAATTTTTTGAATTTTTTGAATTCAAAAAATTCAAAAAATTCAAAAAAAAAGTGAATACATATTTTTTTTTGAATTTTTTGAATTTTTTGAATTCAAAAAATTCAAAAAATTAAAAAAAAAATGAATACATATTTTTTTTTGATTTTTTGAATTTTTTGAATTCAAAAAATTCAAAAAAAAAGTGAATACATAATTTTTTTTGAATTTTTGAATTTTTTGAATTCAAAAAATTCAAAAAATTCAAAAAAAAAAAAAAAATGAATACATAATTTTTTTTGAATTCAAAAAATTCAAAAAAAAAAGTGAATACATATTTTTTTTGAATTTTTTGAATTTTTTGAATTCAAAAAATTCAAAAAAATCAAAAAATTCAAAAAATTCAAAAAAAAAATGAAAGTCCCAAAAAGAAAGAAATGGAATTCAAAAAATTCAAAAAAAAATGAATACATAATTTTTTTTGAATTTTTTGATTTTTTTGAATTTTTTGAATTCCATTTCTTTCTTTTTGGATTCAAAAACAAATCCGAATACTAAACTGTGTATTTGAAAAAAAAACTACTGCTAAACTAAGTCTGGCTCTCTTTCTGGGAATTTCATTTTGTTATTGTTTTTTTGAATTTTCTGAATTCATTTTTTTTTTAAATAGGCGTTTCTTTTTAATCCATCATTTTTTCACGTTTTATCTTTTATGTTATTTTTCTGATCCTTACATTATTAATATTGTGTCATAACACCATCAATTCTTAAATATATATTTCTTTTTTCCTTAGTTTCTATAATATTTTTTTTAATTCCATGTCTTCATCTTTTCAAATTCAAAAAAATCAAAAAAATGAAAAAAAATGAATACCCCAAAAGTGAGAAGCTTAGCTCCCAATAGTAATCTATATATATGCAAAAAACAACTCAATACTAAACTATGTAACCATGCATTTAAACAATACTAAACTATGTATTCATTTTAAAAAAACTACTGCTAAACTAAGTCTGGCTCTCTTTCTGGGAATTTCATTTTTTTTTGACTTCGAAAATTCAACAAATTAAAGCAAAAAATGCATACTCCAAAACGAGAAGCTGAGCTCCCAATAGTAATCTATATATGCAAAAAATGTCAATACTAAAAGATGTATTCAAAGCATACTAAACTATGTTTTAAAAAACATGCTAAACCATGTGTGTGTGGTTCCCTTTCTGAGAATCTTATTATATACTTTGTTGACCCCAAAAATCATCAATACTAAACTATATATCCACCCAAAAAAGCCACCAATATTAAACTATGTAGCAAAATAAGGAAACAAACTGCAGACAATGAAAGTCCTGTGTCTCAAAAGCACCCAAAAAGAACAACAGTAATGAGGAGAGAAGGGAAAAAGGCACTGGGAAAGACAAGAGGAACAAGTAGTGAAAGAAAGGGAAGAGGAGAAAAGCTCTCTTCTCCGTCCCAAAATGCTGGAGACCTAGAAAGAAGCACGGTAGTGGAGAGAGGATAAGGAGACCGCTTGGAGGGAAACATGTAGTAGAGAGAGGGTAAGGGAATGTAACGGATAATAGGTTTCGTCCCAAAGCACACAGAGACAAGCAAGGAGACTTATACGAAGGAAGACAAGTAGGGAGAAGCATTCTGCCCAAAGCAGCCTGAGAGAAGAATAGCAATGGGGAGCGAATGAAGGATACAACTTGGAGAGAACAAGGGAGACAAGTATACAACTTGGAGAGAACAAGGAAGACACGTACGGAAACAGATGGCAGACGAGAAGAATCAGGGGTCCCAACAAGCACCTAGAAAGAAGAAGAGCAAGAGAGAGAGAGAGAGAGAGAAGAAAAAAAAAGAAAGAAAGAAAGAAAGAAAGAAAGAAAGGAAAGAAAGAAAGAAAGAAAGAAAGAAAGAAAGAAAGAAGGGCACGAAATGGAGACAACAAGGACGACAAGTACGGAAACAGACAATGGACAAGGAGCATCCGATGAGCATCCTGTGCGCCGGAAGCACCCAGAGAGAACAACAGCAACGAAGAAAGAAGTGTCAAAACAAGTTGAGAACAAGCAGAGAGACGGGCGCAGAAACAGATGGGACACAAGGAGAGTCCTTTCCCCAAAGCAACCAAAACAAAGAACACTGAGCAATGGATCAACAAGGGAGACAAGCACAGAAACAGGTGGAAAACAAGGAGAACTTTGCGTCCCAAGCGTACCCAGAGAAAAGAATAGCAATAGATAGAGAAGTACGGAAACAAGTTTGAGACAACAAGGGGAACGAACACGGAAACAACTGGGAGACGAAGAGACGAAGAGTATCCTGTTTCCAGAAGCATCCAGGAAGAAGAACAGTAACAGGGATGGACAAAAGGAATGGAGAGAGGAGGACTGCAACACAAATGAAGGACTCGGGAATGTTTATTGCCCCAAAGCACCTAGAGGTCCTAAAGCCTAGACACACGTGGGAGACAAGGAGAATCTTGGGTCCCAAAAGCACCTAAAGAGAACAACGGTAGTGAGGAGAGAAGTGAAGAAGGCAGTGGGAAAGACTAGAGCAACAAGTAATGAAAGAAAGGAAAGAGGAGAAAAGCTCTCTTCTCCGTCCCAAATGCTGGAGACCTGGAAAGAAGATGAAAGAAGCACGGTAGTGGAGAGATGATAAGGAGACAAGTTGGGGACTAGTAGAAAGGCAAGTAGGGTAACATATGGTAGGGACCCAGGGTAAGGGAATGTAACGGAGTAACGGATAATGGGTTTCGTATGGTTTCGTCCCAAATCACACAGACTTCCACAAAGGAAGGCAAGTAGGGAGAAACAAAGACCAGGAAATCCATTCTTCCCAAAGCAGCCTGGTACAAGAATGGCAATGGGAAGGAAATGAAGGATACAACTTGGAGAGAACAAGGGGAACAAACACGGACACAAATGGGAGACGAGAAGAATCAGGAGTCCAGGGTCCAAAAGCACCCAGAGAGAACAACAGTAACTAATGAGGAGAGAAGCGAAGAAAGCATTGGGAAAAACTAGAGGAACAAGTATGGAAAGAGGAGAAAAACTCTCCTCTCCGTCCCAAAATGCTGGTGACCCGGAAAGAAGCACGGTAGTGGAGAGATGATAAGGAGACAAGTTGGGGACAAGTAGGAAGTCAAGTAGGGTAACATGTGGTAGTGACCGAGGGTAAGGGAATGTAACGGATAATAGGTTTCGTCCCAAAGCACGCAGAGACAAGCACAGCAATTAAGAGACAAGTACAGAAAGCAGCCTAAGAGAAGAAATGAGAAGAATAGCAAGGGGGAGGCAATTAAGGATACAACTTGGAGAGAACAAGGGAGACAAGTACGCAAACAGATGGGAGACGAAGAGAATCATGTGTCCAAATAAGCACCTAGAGAGAAGAACAGCGAGAGAGAGAGAGAGAGAGAAAGAGAGAAGTAAGGGCACGAGTTGGAGAGAACAAGGGGGATAAGCACGGAGACAGACAGAGGACAAGGAGCATATTGTCCCCCGGAAGCACCCAGAGAGAACAGCCACATGTGAGAGTGAAGTAGAGAGACGAGTACGAAAACAGATGAGACTTGAGTCCTGTCCCCAAAGCCACCAGAACGAAGAACACTGAGCAATGGAGAGAGAGGAACGGGAGACGAGGAGATTCCTTTGACCAAATTCACCCGGAGAGAAGAATCGCAATGGAGATAGAAAAATAAAGAAACAAGTTGGGAACAGACAAGGAGACAAGTATGGAAACAAATGGGAGGCAAGAAGAATCCTTTGCCATCGAGCACCACGAAGAGTATCCTGTGCCCAGAAGCACCCAGGAAGAATAACAGTAACAGGGAGGGACAACAAGGAATGGAAAGAGGAGCACTGCAACAAGGTGACGGAAGGGACATAAATGATGGACTCGGTAATGTTTATGGCCCCAAAGCACCTGAAGGTTCTAAAGCCTAGACAGAAACAGCAACAGAGAGAGTAGAATGAGTAGGAAAGTAAAATGGAGTAAGAAAAGGGAGAAAAAATTGGCTGAATAAGGACACAAATTGGAACACATGGGAGGCAAGGAGAATCTTGGGTCCCAAAAGCACCCAGAGATAACAACTGTAATGAGGGTGAAGAAAGCACTGAGAAAGAATAGATGAACAAGTAAGGAAAGAAAGGGAAGAGGAAAGAAACCTTGCTCTCCGTGCCACATGCTGCAGACCCGGAAAGAAGCACGGTAGTGGAGAGATGATAAGGAGATAAGTTGGAAACAAGTAGGAAGGCAAGTAGGGTAACATGTGGTAGTAACCGAGGGTACAGTAAGGGAATGTAACGGATAATAGGTTTCGTCCCAAAGCACACAGAGACAAGCACAGCAATTGAGAGACAAGCAAGGAGACTTATACGAAGGAAGACAAGTAGGGAGAAACATTCTTCCCAAAGCAGCCTGAGAGAAGAATAGCAATGGGGAGGGAATTAAGGATACAACTTGGAGAGAACAAGGGAGACAAGTATACGACTTGGAGAGAACAAGGAAGACACGTACGGAAACAGATGGCAGACGAGAAGAATCAGGGGTCCCAACAAGCACCTAGAAAGAAGAACAGCAAGAGAGAGAGAGAGAGAGAGAGAGAAAGAAAGAAAGAAAGAAAAAAAGAAAGACAGAAAGAAAGAAAGAAAGAAAGAAGGGCACGAAATGGAGACAACAAGGACGACAAGTACGGAAACAGACAATGGACAAGGAGCATCCGATGAGCATCCTGTGCGCCGGAAGCACCCAGAGAGAACAACAGCAACGAAGAAAGAAGTGTCAAAACAAGTTGAGAACAAGCAGAGAGACGGGCGCAGAAACAGATGGGACACAAGGAGAGTCCTGTCCCCAAAGCAACCAAAACAAAGAACACTGAGCGCGGGGGGGGGAGTAGTAGAACAAACAAGGAGACAAGCAGCTAAGCATGGAAACAAATGACAGACAAGAAGAATCCGCTGCCATCAAGCACCCAGAGAAACAGAACTCAGGCAGGGAGTAGGAGCCAACACGGGAGACAAGCACGGAAACAGGTGGAAAACAAGGAGAACTTTGCGTCCCAAACGTACCCAGAGAAAAGAATAGCAATAGATAGAGAAGTACAGAAACAAGTTTGAGACAACAAGGGGAACGAACACGGAAACAAATGGGAGACGAAGAGACGAAGAGTATCCTGTGCCCAGAAGCATCCAGGAAGAAGAACAGTAACAGGGATGGACAAAAGGAATGGAGAGAGGAGGACTGCAACACAAATGAAGGACTCGGGAATGTTTATTGCCCCAAAGCACCTAGAGGTCCTAAAGCCTAGACACACGTGGGAGACAAGGAGAATCTTGGGTCCCAAAAGCACCTAAAGAGAACAACGGTAGTGAGGAGAGAAGTGAAGAAGGCAGTGGGAAAGACTAGAGCAACAAGTAATGAAAGAAAGGAAAGAGGATAAAAGCTCTCTTCTCCGTCCAAATGCTGGAGACCTGGAAAGAAGCACGGTAGTGGAGAGATGATAATGAGACAAGTTGGGGACTAGTAGAAAGGCAAGTAGGGTAACATATGGTAGGGACCCAGGGTAAGGGAATGTAACGGAGTAACGGATAATGGGTTTCGTATGGTTTCGTCCCAAAGCACGCAGACTTCCACAAAGGAAGGCAAGTAGGGAGAAACAAAGACCAGGAAATCCATTCTTCCCAAAGCAGCCTGGTAGAAGAATGGCAATGGGAAGGAAATGAAGGATACAACTTGGAGAGAACAAGGGGAACAAACACGGACACAAATGGGAGACGAGAAGAATCAGGAGTCCAGGGTCCAAAAGCACCCAGAGAGAACAACAGTAACTAATGAGGAGAGAAGCGAAGAAAGCATTGGGAAAAACTAGAGGAACAAGTAAGGAAAGAAAGGAAAGAGGAGAAAAACTATCCTCTCCGTCCCAAAATGCTGGTGACCCGGATGATGGACTCGATAATGTTTATGGCCCCAAAGCACTTGAAGGTTCTAAAGCCTAGACAGAAACAGCAACAGAGAGAGTAGAATGAGTAGGAAAGTAAAATGGAGTAAGAAAAGGGAGAAAAAATTGGCTGAATAAGGACACAAATTGGAACACATGGGAGGCAAGGAGAATCTTGGGTCCCAAAAGCACCCAGAGATAACAACTGTAATGAGGGTGAAGAAAGCACTGGGAAAGCATAGATGAACAAGTAAGGAAAGAAAAGGAAGAGGAAGGAAAAGAGCTACAACCACTGGATAAGATCAGAAAGGAGGACGGTCGCATTATACCAAAAGGTCCCTGCCACATATATATATAATATTATATATATAGATGCAACATGCATACAGCATACATATCACAATATATACGCGTATGTATAGTCAAAACTGGAGGGCACATACAGGTTTTGAAATAGCAAATTCATGTTTGAGGCATGCCTGAGAACAATGGCATCGCTGTTGGATTGCCGAGCTAATGCCATTTTGTTCCATATTGTCTTGCAACATTGTACAATGGAAAATGTGTGTTTTGGCCAGCAAATTTGTCCCACTTTTGATTCTTCAGTTCAAAACCATGAAACGGGACTAAAAATATATTCAGTCCCTGCGGTTGAGACGGTTGAGATGCTTAAGAAATGTCCCTGAAACGTTGGGGGATCCAGGTCCCCCCTGACTCCAAGAAGCTCATCATCCCAGAGCATCTTCACACGAGTGGTCTGAGCGTGCTGGGACGTCACGACCCAAAGATCTGGGGGATCTAAACATCAAAAAAAAAGGCAAATTTGATTATGACAATGTAATCAATGTACAATATAAACAAGTACAGTATATTACATAGTATATACAGAAGGGATCAAACAGAATTTTACATGACTCCATTGACTCCAGTTCGTGTGTGCCTTGGTTTCGGTGGGATTCCCAGGCCCCCACCAGCCTGCTATCTGTTTTGCCCCTCAAAATGCCCAAAGGACCACCGAGTTGGGTCCTTTTTAGCCAGATTGCAGTGCGGCCCATAGTTCTCCCAAAAAATAAGGTATGGGAAGATGATAGGTTTTAAGCCATCCCCAGAATCATATCATCAAATTGGTTTCAGGAAAACATAAAAATTATCCCACTATGATCCCTGCGAAACCTCAAATCTACTTCCACCAATCCTCACCCCGCCTCCCATTGCGAGGGTTTGGTCCCCTTTGGCGCATCTTCACCACGAATCTCCACGAAAGGATCGCTCCAGGGAGCCAGCTGCCAAACGGCCTATGGGATGGCAAGGAGCCCAAGTGTGGTGAAAAAATGTAAGAATAAGAATAGTATAGAATGGTTATATATTGATAACTATTGATATATATATATATTGTAGTTCACCCATGATCACTCAGATTTGTTGCAGGCATGTTGATGTTAGCTGCTTAACAACTGGGAGTTCCACCAACCAGACTATAACCACCAAGCCAGTCATAAATGGGATGTCTACCCCAATTAGTTCACCACTGAGAGCCTTTCAGTCAGAGATTGAGTAGTCTCCAATTCCAAACAATGATCATTACGGTTCCATTGGAATTGCTGCAAGTTGGGGCCAATCAGCCCAATATCAAACCACCAACAGGTCAAGTTTTTGTAGCTCGATCTAAAAGCTGAACAAGGCGACGGCTATACCCTGAGCAGAAATTGAAAGGCTGAAAGCCAAAATAGGCAGAAAATGGCAGAAACCCAGAGCAAAATTGCCAAATCATAGAAACTGTGCGGGTCCCTTTTAGGGGGTTCACAACTGTTTCTTGGACTCTTGGGCCACGGGCACCCGGGATAGAGGACAAATTCCCCTGACTCCCAGTATCAACGAAACGTCGGTACCTATGAAAGGGCATCAATCTGCTTATCAGGTGACGAGGTGACATTAATTCACAATATATAATATAATATACAATATACATATCGATACATCATCTATCATAATCTCTTATAATGCCAACATTGTCTCATCATGGCTAATCGACAATGGATACAATGGCGATCCCCCGAATTGCGGCCTTCGTCAAGTCTCCATCGATGGGAACCACAGTAGCTTTCCTGCAGGCAGTGAAACTTTAGCAGCCATACCTTAGCTAATCCCTTCTTCCTATTACTAAAACTCCAAATAAAAAAAATAGGATTGGTGTGGCACTTCCAGGTTTTTTTGGTTGGGCACAATTGGATTCTTAATTGTGGTAATTGAGAATCAATAGGAGAACAGGATGGTGAAACAATGGGTTCAACCCCCTGTATAATAAAAATAGATTGCAAATGGAGGTTTTTTTATTATTAAGGTGTTCATTGAAATATTAGGGGAATATTAGGGGAAAGCTTCGAAATCCAGTTTTTGGCAAATTTTAAATAGATTTTAATAAGGGATTTAACCAAATTTGAAATTTGAAATCGAGTTGTTTATCTTTATTATTGAGGATATTAGGGGAAAGCTTTGAAATTCAGTTTTTGGCCAATATTTTTTAATATTTTTTAAATAGATGTTAATAAGGGATTTAATCAAATTTTAAATCGAGTTGTTTATTCTTATTATTAAGGTTTTCATTGGAATACTAGGGGCACCCCAATACAAAATACATCCTAATAATAAAAATCGTAAAAATTGATCAACGTGTTTACCATTTGGGGGTGGGGCCGTGTTTTAGTCATAGGGAGAGTTTTTTTTACAAGAACCATCCACTTCAATTTTCCCATTGAATCCCCATCTCCTGGCGACGTACTGCTTCGGATACCTCCGCGGCAGCTGCGGGATCCGGGCCCGCCGCGGCTTCGCCGACCACGCCAGAAGCACCGCCGTCAGCCCGGCAGCCGCAGCGGCGCGGCCCAGGCGCCCACGGAGGGCGCCCTGCAAGGCCAGGGCGGCCGACAGCGCAGCCGTGGCGCGGAGCCAAGCTTTCACCATGGCAACGCGATGGGGCTCTGCCGATGGAAGGCCGAAGACCTCGTTTTTAGATGACTGACATGTTTGACCCAGAAAAGTATAGAAAAGTCCCAAAAAAAAATGGTGAAAGGGGGAAACTAGGACAAGAGAGGTTGGAGGTTGGTTGGGAGGTTGTTATGTTTTTGTTCAATATTGTAAATCTAAATGTTTGACTGTTTCTTTTTGATTATCTTGCTAAATGTTTTGTTGAGGTTGTTGTGATAATGTTTGGTTTGGATGAGGGTAGGTTTTGTTGAGGGTGTTTTGGCTGTTATGGTTTTTATGTTGTTGTTCAATGTGTGTTCCTTGGTTTTGATGATTTACTGGGACATTGTTAGGGGTGGTTTAGGGTCTTAACTTTCACTGTTGATGTTTGGATTGAATGGGGGTAAGCATTGTTTAGGTTGTTGGGGTTTTTTGTTTGTGTTTGGGTGGGTGATTACTTCATAATATATTTTGTTAAGATATTATGAATTAATCATTTATGCTTTCCACTTTCCTATTCCATTCCACCAGTGTTCAATTATCCTGACTTGACTTGTGATAGGTTTGTCTGTATCATTCAGTTCATCTATTGCTAATGCTAATAGAGTTTGATTTATTGCCATAGCATCCCATTTTCCATCACGGTTAAGTTCCTTACCACAATCAACGATGACCTTTTTATCAGTGAGGTTTTCATACATCTTTTTTCATAATGTCAAAATTTACAAACGAATATATTATCATAGCATTTATTCCTTGGTCGTTTTTCAATCTGTTAATTACTTTCTTCCAAAATTTGCCTCCTTCCTCATCATCGGGTTATGGCATAGGATGACACCTTACAAAGTCTCTAATATCTTCATCTTCTTTTTCTATTGCTTTTCTTTCCCAGTCATCGTCCTCGCTTTCACTACCGAAGTCAGCATATATACCGATACCATCTCTATCTATAACCTGAATTTTTGCTTTACTCATTTTCTCTTACTATATATAGTTATTTTTTCTTTAAGTATTTACCACTTTTTGTAGGTGCTCTTTTATTTCTTCTATGTTCAAATATTTCTCATAACCGTTGAACAGTTCTTCGGTGTATTCACACAAAAATATTTTCAAAATGTCATTTACCTGAAACTCCCTATTTCTGAATGTATAAGTCCAATCGTTTTGAGGAAACCACCACTCACGCTTGTTTTTACAATACTTCATATATGTAAGGTCGTGAAAGTTTTTAAGGAAGTGATAGGTAGTTTTCCACTCCCTTTTCACAAAAGACTTAATCGCCATTAAGAACAGTTTGTCGTGTTTGAATTCTTGCTTGAGTTTGAATGTATCCATTAAAACATCAATTTCTCTTTTCATTTGCCGAGTGTTTGTTCGGTTCGTGTTGGATAATTAAATAGGTGATTTCTCCATCCTTGTTTTAAAGAAATAGATTGTCTTTTCTACTCTCGTCAGTTTTTTATCATTAAAATAGTCAAAATGATAATTGAAATCTATGTATCTACGCTCCCTATCGTTTAAGTCTTTACATTTTGAACAGTGAAGGTTGCAATCACATATCTCATCACAAATTCCAGCGGGAAAAATATTGTTTAGTAAAACCTTTAGGTTAGTCATTTCTTTTTTACAACATCCACAGTTTTTATAAGTAAATAGCATCCTCTTACTATATATAGGTAATTTTTCTTTAAGTAGTTTTTGGGGGCTCGTTCAGTTTTCGGGTTCGGGTTGGTGTTTATTTTCCCTTTCCTCCTCTTCCAGTTCCTTTATAACCATATCTATTTCACTCATTCCTTCGTTGGGGTCTTGTCCATTGGCGAGGTTTCTTAACCTCTCAAAATCCTTCACTTTGTGCCTTTCATTGGGTGGGAGGGTTTTGAGATGTTCCTTCAACTCTGTCAGGTCAAAGTATGTGTCGTGTTCTTCATCCTCATTTTCCAAAAACATTTCCATTCTTTGCTTTTCCATCTCCATAAGTTTGTTTTCCATATATTGGAATTTCATTTGCTTCTTGTAGCACTTGCCACAAACATTCACGAAGGTTTTGAGCAAGTAGTTCCAATTAGGTTGCTTTATATCGTTCAGGGTTATAACATCTGTCATTATACGACATCCACAGTCAAATTTAGTCATCTTACTTATTCTTACTATATATAGGTATTTTTTCTTTAAGTATTTTTTTATTGCTGATAATTTTAAAAATCTAATATTGTAATATATGGCAAGGAGACTATCAAGAGATGACATCATAAGCAATGTCTATTATAATCTTGAAACGGGCTTCGGTTCAATCAATGAGACCCTCAAGAAAGCAAAGGAACAAGACCAGACCATCAACAGGGTGGATGTGGAAAACTTTATGAGGAAACAGCCCAACAAACAGATTAGAAAATACAGGGGTTCAAACTCCTACACCGCGCCCTTCGCAAGGTTTGAATATCAGATTGACATAATGGATATGAAACCCCTTACCAAAGAACCAGAGACGAAAATTCCAATCAAGAACGACGAACCGAGATATGGGTTGGTGGTCATTGACATCTTCAGCAAGTTGGCAAACGTCGTCCCTATGAAAGAAAAATCCGGACCAATTACATTATCGGCGATGAAAGAGAGTTTCAACAAAATGGGTTTTCCGATGTCCGTTTACAGTGATAATGACCGTGCCTTCCAAGCAGGGGTAAAAGACTTTTTTGAGAAAGAAGGCATCACTCACGTTGTCACCCTAACACACGCTAATGTTGTGGAGCGTTTCATAAGGACGATGAAGAATATGATACACGACAGGGTGAGGTTTAATCTCGGTAGTTGGACTGTGATGTTGTCCAAAGCGTTAGATAAATACAACGACACCGTCCATTCATCCACCAAAATGAAACCCAAGGATGCCCACGACGACAAGAACCATATGGACGTCAGGGTGAATTATTCAAACAGAAAGCCCCAGAAAAGTTAGGGACAAAAAATCCCCAGAACATACAACACAAAAAACATCAAAGGAAAGGAAGAAATGTTGAAGATAAACCTAGAAACCATAACAAGCAAAACACCCTCAACAAAACCTACCCTCATTGAAACCAAACATTATTACAACAACCTCAACAAAACATTTAGCAAGATAATCAAAAAGAAACAGTCAAACATTTCAGATTACAAGATTGAACAAAAACATAACAGCCTCCCACCTGACCTACAACCTGTCTTGTCCTAGCTTCCCCCTTCTACCATTTTTTCCCAAATATGGGATGAGTTGTGTATTTTGTATCTGCAGGTATCTTTGATTTTGGGATGATTGAATGTTGAATGGTTTTTCCTATTGAACCAAGATACATTGTGGATTTGGGAAGGTAAATTAAGGTAAATGCTATCTAAAAAAAAGGCAATGTGTTGCTTAAGAATGTCCGTGTTTGTTGTTTGTGTTAGTGTACTGGACATCTTATCATCTTCGTTCAGAATGGCAAAATCAAAGGTTTTTGTCGCGCTCTCGATGAGGCTTTACTGCACCTGTCATACCACTTAGATTCGCACGACTGGAGCGACCCGTGTCTATTTTTGGCATTGCTGCCCCTCACTGCCGTGATTCTGCCTGTAGCAAATATATAAAATATAAATCAATATAGTAATATACCGTGTTTTACCTTTTACGAGTTTACGATGTGCTTCAAACTCATGTCGACTCCATATTCAGCATATGTGACTTACTCTCCGAGTGTGCATACGGTTTGCACCCAAAAAATCACGGATACTGAGAGAAGTACTGGAGAAGTTTTTGCGGCGTTTCTACATGCCCACTGCATGTTGAAACGGATATGGCATGTTCATGCATTTTCAATGGAGAACAGCAACGAAAACATGCCGAAAAGCAAAGCTGCAAAGGCTGTCTGCCAAAAGAGTTTCAAGATGCTTCTAGGAATCAGAACCGGATCAATGATTTAAAGATTTTAAAGCCAGCGGTTCTCAAGTGGGATGGTTCTCCAATCAACATATTATGGCTCCGTGGGAAAATTTAGGGACAACTCCAATCCATCCACCTGGTTGATCATCATTTTCCGTCACGTGTAGCCATTTTCAGACCCATATGACACCAGCATTTTTTGGCTGCGCACCCCGGTACGCACGTCAGGCGCTGGTCCCTTCAAGGACTCCACCCGACAAATGACGAATGACAGATCTGAGGCACGGCCGTGACAATTGATCGATGGCTTCACCGTTGGAACCTGGGGATTTAAACACCAAAAATGAGGATTCCATCATCAAATATGATGTTCAATTGGATTGGTTTTCTGGGGGGAACCCTGGTTTTTTGACCATCCAATATAGGGGGGTTCCAATGTTTTTTCCCTTAAACCAATCCAAGGATACGACTTGAGACTCAACCAACAAGCATAGGCTAAGACTCCTTGTTTTATTTAAGACTAAACCAACAAGGGTACTGGCTCAAAATGTGGTCTTGCTTGGCAGCAAAAAACAAGGCACTATGAAGGTTGAATAGTGATGGTAAACACGAATAACCATTTCATCAAGTGACCAAATCTGAAGATAGACGGATATACTGTATGATATCAGATATATGTATATGACGGCATATATATACATAATATATTATAATATCATAATATGGCAAAATATACACCAATGATTAGAGCAGTGAAATTCAGCCCATACTGAGATCGTCGATGGAGATTCTGCGTAGCTCCTTGCACTCTGCCGAATCTTGAAGACGATTTCACAACTTTTGAACCAATTGTGTGGCTCAGATCAAGCAATTCTGCGGCGTCCCAGCTACGGGTTGCTGCTTCGCAGCAACCCGCAGCTGGGTGACAGGCTTTCTTCACCAAATTGCAGCTGCTATCGACTGAAAAATCAATGAAGCCCGTACAATTTCCAATGGGAGTTAAGGCCCTTAACAGTTAACGTATCCTAAGGCTGTTAAATTGGCCATGAGGAAAAACTGGGAGCCCTTGGTTGAGTGAGCATTTGAGGGTTAGTTCATTTTT